GTGGGAAACTTTTAAAGGAAACAACTATTTTCAAATATAAAACATTTTTCTTTTTAGTCTGTTCATCAAAATTGAAACAGATATAGTTCACAATTACGCTACACAACGTAAATTTCAGAGCGAAATGATATAAATTCACATGGAACTTTGATCAGCAACTCCTCAAGATTATGTAAGAAAATGTTAGTCACTCTTACCAGATCTGTAGAAGGTAATTATAGCCGAATTGAGCAAGTTACTTCCGCGATTCTGCATGAAGCTCATCATTAAAAACAGTCAAATCTGATACTTTGCTGGATATACTTTGGTGAATACAGATGACCACATTGCCATGTGTATTATACTGTTTGCAATGAAAAATAAAGGTAGTGAAGATGATCTAACAACAGGGTTTCTAAGAAAAACTATATGACTATACAAAATATATCCTAAAAATAAAACCCTTTCAGTATAAAATATACCCGCTATTAAATCTTGTCAACTTTTTTGTATCACCGGCAAATTTGCATATACGCTATCTGAAAAAGAAGTGAATTTAAATTTTTCTCAAAAAATATTAATTTATTCATCAATTTTCATTTTGTACCCTTTATGCCTCCAACTGTCAACTACGAACTGCCTTAAAAAGTACTATTCCCGAGTAGAGAGGACTAGATCCTCCGGGAGAAGGACATATTAAGAACAGATAGTTGTTAGTTCACAGATGAATCAAAAACACATTCCGGTTCTGGTGCAGGTGTTTTTAGTCGCAGACCCAGGACAGAAATAAATATCTACCTGCCTAGAAACTTATGAGACTGTATTTCAAGCGGAAATTTACGCTATTGGTGTGCAGAGAGATTGGATAAATCCAACCTCACACACAAGTCAATAAGAATATTCTCGGGCAGTTAAGCGGCGTTGGAAGCTCTTGGTTCCTATCGAGCAACGTCTAAATTAGTAGCAAATTGCCAAAAACAACTCTCCTCGATAGGAAGACTTAACAGATTGTCTCTGGTCTGGATTCCGGGCCATACTGGCCTGGAAGGTAAGGAAGCTGCTGACTGTCTTGCAAAGGAGGGTGCTGCAAGTGGCTTCATCGGACTAGAACCTGTTATTGGCATCGCTTTGGGCTTTGGCAAACAAACATTGAACACCTGGAAGGCAAGAAGATTTATGGACTTCTGGCAGAATCTTCCAGGATTGGCTCTCTCCAAGGCGTTTATCCACCCTTCGAAGCTTGATACCAAACAGTTGTTGGACTACAGTAGGAATGAACTAAGATGTCTAACAGGCCTTCTTACGAGTGACTTTCATTTGAATCATCATATGCAGAGGTTTGGACTGTCTAAAAAAGGTGTGTGTTGCCTCTGTTTGGAAAATGATGAAACAGCAGATCATATACTTTGTGCCTACCCCGCTGGGAAGCGAATCAGATTCTTAAGAGTTCGGCAGATTTGTGCTCTTACCGTCTGACCTGAAAGAACACTCGCCATACAAACTAATCCACAATAAACCCTTGCGTATTGCGATGGAGGGTCGAATAGACCCACTCACTTTAGGCCTAACCTAACTCTTCAAAGTAGTCTCCCTCAGATATAATACACTTGTCCCACCGTTTTTTTCAATCATGGAAGCAGTTCCGATGCACTCTTTGGAAGGTTTCTCAGCGATTCGATTTTTATCGCCTCAATCGTCGCAAAACGCCGTCATGGGTCTCTTCAATATTGGGTACAGAGAAAAGTCACAGGGGGCAAATCTATTTAATACGGTGGCTTAGGCATGATCATGGTGTTGTTTTTAGCAAAAAATTACGAACAAGAGGTGACGAGTGATCAGCTGCAATATCGTGATGCAAAAATCATGAATTATTTTTCCACAATACCGGACGTTTCCTTCGTATTGTTTCTCGCAAGCGGCACATAATTTCAAGGTAATACTCCTTATTGACCGTATGACCATGTGGCAGTAACTCCCGATGCCAAGGCCATGCCCAGATGTTTGTTTTAATAGTTATTTCAGTCGAACACAATTGGCTAGTACCAACTTACCTTGCATAATTCAAAATTATTTGCTAAACTACCATGGTAACAAATTGGAAACAGAACCATAAAATCCTCACCAACTTATCTATATGAACCTAATGCGTGAAAGAAGCAAATTAGCATTGGAGAACATTGTGTTGTTAACCCTGAGTAAATGAAATTGTTATTGATCCATTTGTAAGGTAAAAAACCGTGTATGAAAATGAATATCAAACAGTAATTCTTTAGTGTCGGCTTCTATTTGAAATTCAAATTCTTCATATGAATTTCAAATGTTACCTCAGTCGCATCGTTCAACTCATTTCGTACATTTTTGCATAAAAAAAAAGCCACACCCTTCACGACTTTAGGTTGAAATTTATGCATGTATTCCTAATGGTGTTGTATGAATGAATGCGTTTATTGAAAAGAAAAAATGGCAAAGATTCCGTTAAAACTCATTTCAAGAATAATACAGACAGAGAAGTAATGTAATCAAGTGTAATCGATGTGGATGGCATAGCAAATCACATATTGTTTAATGAAATCCTCTAGGTAGTCTAGGTACTGATAATGATCCAGAATTTTGCATTTACAGAAATTTCAGGAACTTCAATGATAATCATTTTCCAATAGACTCAGGGCCGTAGCGAAAATAAAAACCAGGGAGGGGAGGAAATCCAAATTTTCCCAACCCCACCAGCAAAATTTCCCAACTTTCAAAAAAATGGAAGCCAAGGGATTAGTTACTACTGTAATATAACAATTTTCTTACTTAGCTATCCAAATATTGGCTGAATGCTTATATGCCCATTAGGGTATGCACAAACGAAAATAAATTTTGGTAATTATAAAAATAAAATGGGAATTATTCTACTTTGGACCAAGGTCCTTGGTCTTCCACCATGTATAGGAAAGGAAACGACACTTAAATAATATTGTGCTTATTGTTTTCTACTATTATTTTTTCTATCTTCACGGCCCGAAATTTTCCAACTTTTCCAAGTCGAAAAAACAGCGAAAAGTTGGGACTTTTGTAAAATTGTCACTTCAAAATTTGTGGACTGTTCAGGACTGTTCTCTCTTAACCCAAAATTTCAGAAGTATGGGACCTCCAAGTTATGCATGTTGGAAATCCCAACCTTCTCCTCGTTCTTTCCCTTTTCTTATCACCTCTCCCTTTCTTTTCCCTCATTTCTATTTTTTAAATTTTTCTTCATTTTATTACTATTATTTTTTTCTATGTTCACGGCCCAAAATTTCCCAACTTTTCCCCAAGTCGAAAAAGCAGGGGGGAGGCTCCCCCCGTCCCCCCCATGGCGCCGTCCCTGAATAGACTTATTGAATTCTGATTTCTTTAAAATACATCAAAGTAAGTCTGAAGATTGTATCGAGAAGAAAATAAGTATTCTGAAATAGAATCTTGAAAGAATAACCTCTCCCAACGTACCACACAGTAGGTTCTGGTGAATGCAAGCCGGAAAACTACTACTTCCCTGGCTGATACCACGCTAGTCATTGAATTATATCCGACAGATATTTATGCAAGATACATCACAGAGGTTAATGTTACAGATGTTTTTTGTTCATTCAGCAGCAGGACCACGCTGAAATCAATCGTATAGATTACCTACAGACCGATTTCGAGGAATTACCTCAGTGTGCCTGGGGCTCGATTGACTTTAACGCGGCTCGACCGCATGTATGATATAAGAAAAAGATTGTTAACTAGTAACAGCTCCATCTCGTGAAAAAAAACCCAAGCGAGAAAGAAACATCCCAGGTACCAATGCTAAAAAATAAATAATTGACATAATTTCACATTTATGATGCACTGTTTGGAACCTTTGGTGTAGTAATGAATATTACTGGATTAAACCATTTAATCTTCCTCCTGAAGATGATCACTTGATGATCGAAACACGTGTCGAGTTGTTAAAAATAACGATTTGGTGTTGGGAAAGAACTCCAGTAATATTCATAATTTCACATTTTAAAACTCCTGACATCTGTCGAAGAAGTTGAGAAATAAATAGTCAGCAGAAGGAATAACTGCAAATATCAGTATTGTATTATTTTTTAGCAATTTTATTGATAGGCAAAATTGTTAAATACGTCAAGTTACTAACAAATAGAATATTTTTCTTTGTGGAAAATACTTTGTTTTTACACAGTAACTTATCGGGGTAAACTAAAAAGTTTACCCTTGTATAAAGTTCTTTCTCCATTATAATTTTCTCAACTTCTGAGAGTTGTCGTTCGTATGGGGGCGACAGCTGATTAACGACAGAAATACCCAAAAAATGACTTTTGTTCAATAGTATATAGTTTTCCATCACATTCTATCCCACAGTAGAAAGTGAAGTATATGACATATTTACAGACATGAAACGATTAATGTAATGCTGTATTAAAGGAAAAAATGTTACAAAGATGTATTGTTAGGTAAAAAATTAGGGCTTAAGAAATATTTTTAGGATCACGAACTTGCTGAGGGTTCGATATAAATTTAAATTCATGATTGAGGTTCAGTCAAGTCAGCTGATAAGTTTCTATTTTCGGTAAAGTGAAGAAAAAGATTATTAACAAGGCTTTGAAATTATAACAATGTTCATTGACGAAATTGAATCTATATCCTATTACATAATATCATCTGGCTTCAAATCAGAATTACTTTTGATTGAACAAAAAAGTTATGGACAACCTAAATTCCCCTTACTGAAATCATAGGTGTAGTTGTCATCGATTCAATCAACGACACTATAAAACAGAATTTCGCATCAAAGTTGGTGCTCAGTTATTAACATAAATTTACAATCATCAAGCGAAGTGACTTACAAAATGGGTAAAACGTCGCGACCAGCTTTCAACGATTCATTTTCGAAAAATAGCTACACTTTAATTTATGTGACAGGTTGAAAGGTGATGACAAAACGATATTTTACCGGAAAACAGCCCTGAATTTGCCTAATCTATTCGTTATAAATACAACTGGAATGACACTAATAAGAAAATTTTATTGTTTCTCTCCATGGACAGAATAGCGTACAATAAGCACGTAGCACATATCCTTTTTTGTGATAAGAATTTCGAGGTGTTCCATTGGCACAAATAAAAAGCTTCACTCTTCACAAAAAAAATAAATGTAAAAATACTACAGGAAATACCTAAATATACATACAGAAGGCACATAATACAAAAAAGAAAATAAAGTGAAATCAACAGATATTCTGGTAAAAGGGGGATACATCTAATATCTCAGACCTTGCATCATTGGCATAATAAACAAATAATTGCGCAGTAAAATACTTTAGAAAATCAATCATTCAATATTATGTAAAATTTGTTCGAATTTGCTCGAAACAAAAAAGTATAACATTTAATAAAGCATTAACAAAAAATAATACGTAATAATATTAGATGACTAATTAACAACAATTTTTAGACTTTCATTCACTTAAATAACCAGAGCCATATCTTTTTTGTTCGGGAGATTGACCTTCTTTCCTTGCCATAACGAGTTATGGATCGTAAAAGCATCTATAGTCACAGTCAAATGTTTTGTGTGAACTTGTGAGAAACACTTCCCTCCTGAATTATATCTGTAAAAACAACAAAACACATGATATGAGAGTAAATTTTTATCAACTGTAATCAAATTATTTTACCAATAATCATGGTCACAAAGTTCAAGTGGTACAGTAAAGTATACAATGTCAAGTTGAAAATAGTACAAATACAAATAACTATTAAAATAATTGCATAGTCTGAAACGAATTCAAATTGAACCAGAGCGCTGCCCAAAGAACCCATAAAATTAACTAAGCATTTGATTGACTCTGATAGTGTTAATGAACGGACTGTTCGATGTTGGTTTGCTAAGTTTTGTTTCAGAGATTTCAGCCTTGGAGATGAGCCCCAAAGTAACCTACAGTAATGCAGGACTAGGATTTGAAGACCCTGATGGAGACTGACCTATCATAAACAGTGCGTGGGATGACGGAAGAACTGGTGTAAAACGTATTGAAATAATAATAATATTTATGTACCATTTGTGATACATACCGTATATGTGGTGAGTCAAAAAGTATTGAGTAAATAACACACGCTTTACAGTACGTTACTGAATGAGATAAAAAAATTAAAATTGAAATTAAAAATAACATTTGCATATACAAAGATATACACATTCGCCAGCTTACATATATACATACAACATATGTACTTCCAATTCACAGTGGGACTACTTACAACGGGCATTACACAGCATATTGCAGACACCCATATAGTGGCACGTGGCATGAATACAATGATTCACACGTGTTCCCAATTTCGCCAAAATCACTTGTGAGCGATGAGGCATATGTCCTCTTTTATGAACAGGAGGGAACGAAGTAGCACCTTTGAGGTGAATTTGTTTTCCTATTTTTTTATAATCTTAGTTCTCTGAATTGATTTGTATTTCATGATTATTCCAAATTTCATTATATATTGTAATATAAATATACTTGTAACATAATAATTAAAAATGTGGCAATTTTGCTTGCCATAGTGTCATAAATAAAATAAAATCACCAGTCACAACACTGAAACTAAAGCAAAAAACAATAAGTAAAACATTACAGCGATTAAAAATATTATTCTTCTGTGAAAGTATCCTCTAAAATAGTTCTTATAGTTGTAGTAACATCAACATTTGTCCAGTAATAAGTTTTTAACTTTGTTACTGAACACAGTTTCAGATTTAGACGAAACTCGCTTAACAACATCATATTTATGGTAATAAGCTTAAAAGAGGCAAAAAATTGAAATTTGGAAAAATGAATAGAGTAAAAAACTCTCCTTCGATCAGTAAATACAGTAGGATAAATATGACATTTAAACAAACAAATATTTTTAAACAACCTGCACTGAAGGACATTTTGGTAGAAGAAGTATTTTGCAATCTTGGAAAATACTTTGAACATTCTTTGTGATATATTCATTCTGTTGATTTTTTTATTTTATTATGAACATTTTTATACAGTTTCAGACTATGCAATTATTTTAATTGTTATTTGTATTTGTACTATTTTTAACTTCATCATCATCATCAATCCAACTTGAAAAATAAAATTAATTATGGCAAATGATGATACTGACAAGGGCATTATGCAAACTTCTGAGTCAACCGATCAGAAAGCAACTTTAGGTAACAAATGTATAATAAACACATTTTCGTTTGGAAACAAGTGGATGTCATTGTGAATGACAAATATAGTGTAGTTAAGGTAGCCTATTCAGCTCAATTTTCCATTGATGAATTTATTTGAATCCACAAGCAGCAAGAAACATTGACTCCTCCACAAAAAATGTTTTTATCAAAATAAAATTATATCATATATTTTTTACTAAGCATGTGCATCCTCTCGTTCAGTAAAACAACATATTGTATTAGTAGAGATACTCACTTGAAAAACTTATCAAACATTTTGTCATTAACTTGCTTGGGACCGGTTCCGTAAAGTTTCGTAATTTCCTCCCTTTCGGGGCAATACGAATAGAGAGCTCTAAACTGACAACCAGCATCACGGAACAGGATAAGGAAATGCTTGCTCTCGGATCGGTTGATCTCTTCGAGAACTCGCTTTTTGGCTTCTCTGTTCACGACACCGGGGAAAACACAATATTCTACGGCATTAAGCATTATGCTACGATTCGATTTCATGGCAGGTTGCTTATATAATCGTGGACCTGTAACAAAAATACAGAAGATAATTATAATAATCGTATCAGTTTTGTGGGAGGTATGTTTATGAAAATTCTTTGTTACAGAGCCCTGAAGAAGAATTTAATTAAATTCGAAAAAAATTGAACCTTTCTTCACAGAAGATAATATTAAACGGTCACGAAAGATATATTGATTGCATATACTGACATCTGTATGACTTCAACAGGTAAATTTTGCAACATTTCAATAGATATTTCATGTATACCGCAAAAGTTTTCATTTTGTATATCTTCTGATATTTGTGGTAGTTCTTCTATGTTCCTTTTGCTTCAAGTATTTATCAGATATGGTAGTGTCATTGAGATAAAGGCAAAGGATCTACTGGGAGTACAATATCTGTGGTAATTTTTTGGATACGATGCCATATAATTAATTTATCGTTTTGGGGTCCGTATTCATATGAGAAGGGAGTTTTGAACTACATATTTCCTTTTAAATTATTCAATAAGGACTCGTTTTCCCTCATTTCATTTTTTGCATAATATTTTTACAATAAGACTTTTTTGCAGCTGTTATAAAAAGTTCAATATAATGTTTATATTGACTAGCGAGCCGCTCCGGCTGCGCACAGGTGCAACGCTGATACTAAATATAAATTCACCCACCGGAAATTTAAATACATGGAGAACTAGTGGCAAAAAAAGTATTGTTTTAGAGACACGCCTTTTTCCCCGCGGCTGGCAACACAATGGGAATATTTAAAAATACTTTCTTATTGCACATCTACAATATAAAACAAACCTACATACAAAATTTACATATCGAACGATGAATGCGATGATTCATCCAACCCAGTTTACGGTCGGGATTCAGCATCTAGCGTCACGTTGAGTTGTCATAGATGAGAGTCGTTTTGCTAGCATTGCTACCCATAGCAATATTCCATCACACATTACTGTTGAGTTAATTTATGCAAAATAAAAATTTCATAGGCAGTTCTTTTCGACACCAATTACAATATAAAGCATTCATGATTTTTTTTTAATATATTGGAGTAATTTTTAACCCATTTACAAAACCCCGCATTCCGTCAGCAGATACTACTACATGGTATTTTCCTTTGGTAATAGGGTTGTAACTAGGTTTAATAGGTTTTATATCACCATGTTACAAAATTCTACAAATGTTATGTTCTTTGTATGAGTTTATAAATATCAGTAACGAGGCATTTGAAGATTGTTGAAAGATTGAACTGCAAAAAACGCTACTAATACTGGTAGAAAAGTGTATCACATATGAAAAAAAAAATTACACAAAAACATATCAAATTTGCGATGTATTTGCAAGATAAATGTCTGAATCTACATGTATATTCAGCTTTGACGGGACTAGCACAGACTGGAAAGGACTGAAAGAATTAATTTTCCTATGTGAAAACAATCAAAACCCAATACCCGTCGACCAATAAAACTTGACCTGTGAAAAATTACAGTGTGCGTGAGAGTTATCAGCTGCCAAAAATATTGGCCTAAGTATTATGTTAGAATAAAAGAACATAGGCTTTCACGGACGAAGACACGATTAGTTGTAAGATGACGGTAGTTTCTCGTATTTTAAAAAGCTACCTGTCTTCCACAGTAGCAGACAAAATGTTTGATACTACAAGTTCAATTCGACCATTGCCTGCCATTCCAGATTTTAATCTTTCTAATAATAATTATGTTAGACTCCAGCTTTTTCTAACCGTTTAGTGGAATTGGTTTTCAGAATTCTTACATTGAGCTATCATTGGACTGCTAGCACCAACAGGAATGATATCTTAAAAATGACAAATCAGAGGAAACAATCAATACTAATTATCTCAATAAGTAATGAAGTTCATAAATTGAAATGAGTTCATTTTTTATTTCACTAAAAAAAACATATATTTTTGATAGTTTTACAAACTTTTTCCAATCGAACAAATAAATGTAGTTTACTCACCATTATAATCCATCATACTACTAGGAGTCGAACTAATATCACTAGACCCATCGTCAAACATCCTCCTGCCTTTTGACATGAGACCAGGTAAGCTGCCAGGACCAGAAGGTGACGTGAGATGTCTCATGCTCATTCCAGGAGATGGCGCTCGCCTTGGAGGTGTGGCGCGACCTAGGCCCGAATCTGTATCACCAAATCGATATGCTAAACTATCTTGATCCGTGCTGGAGCCTGCGAAAAATTTTAAATTTTAGCTTTCATCATTACCAGCCAGTGATATCCCTTCGGTAAATGATTTTGGAAATGAAGACATTGAATGACTGGAAAATTTGAATGTTTATTCAGATAAATAATATACAGAGATCTCAAAGGTCTTCAACAAATTGGAGCATGAAATGTTGTTAACAAAATTAGACCAACTCGGTTTTAACACAAATCTGGTGAACTACTTTAAATCATATGTGGAATATTGAGGCCAATAATGGTGGTTTCCAGGAAAGCAATTTAGCATCACTTCTTTTCTCACTCTATGTCAGTGACATAGGAACTAATTTAACTAACAGCATTTAATTCAGGAATGTCGCATGTTCCAATGACTTCGAGCCCTGTGTTTCAATAGAACTAACCGCAGTTACTTTTTGGATATCGGCGAATAGGTACAATACTGAAATGAACGAGTATAGTACATGTCAATACAAAAATTCATGTATTGAAGAAACTTTCACAATTTGCCTGCCCAACACAAAAATATATATAAAAAACATACCTAAAAGTTTCATTTAGATCATAAATCAAATTTATTCGCAATTTTTTTTGGGAGATTTCGGAATATAGTTTCATTTTAATTGTATTTTATCAGTTTATTATATGCCGTTGTACCTACAAAGATGAACCTCTCTATCATCAGATCAAAATTGTCTAGTCTAGGATAGATCACTTTGTTTGATCTAGTTTAATATAGATGTGCGATAGTAGCCAGTTGGGTTGACGTGGGTGGTTTACTCCACTCACTCAATCAACCACTGTGTGAACCGTTGATTCAAACCGCAAGGCCGGACGATCGATTTTCATTTCCTATCTGGACGATAGGAAATGAAAATCGTGTTAGGGATCACACGTTAAAAGGTAAAAACTCGTTAGTGCTTAGCTCGCACAAGTTTTGACTTTTGATATTTGTCGTTCTTAGGGGTGCGACAGCTGATTAACGGAAAAACAGATTTTTTCCAACAGATAGATGTACAGCGTATTTCAGAAGCGTGTTTCTTTTTTTTCAAATATGATATACTGCTTCCGCTAGATACAGACAGTATAAAGGTTTGCAGGTTCAGAGTTGGGTAGTATCCGAATACTTCTGTAAAACATACCTAAAAGTTTCATTTAGATCATAAATCAAATTTATTAGCAATTTTTTTTGTGAGATTTCGGAATATAGTTTCATTTTAATTGTATTTTGTCAGTTTATTATATGCCGTTGTACCTACAAAGATGAACCTCTCTGTCATCAGATCAAAATTGTCTAGTATAGGATAGATCACTTTGATCTAGTTTAATAAAGATGTGCGATAGTAGCCAGTTGGGTTGACGTGGGTGGTTTACTCCACTCACTCAATCGACCGATGTGTGAACCGGTGATTCAAACCGCAAGGCCGGACGATCGATTTTCACTTCCTATTGTCCAGCCCGTGTTAGGAATCACACGTTAAAAGGTAAAAACTCGTTAGTCCTTAGCTCGCACAAATTTTGACTTTCGATAGTTGTTGTTCTTAGGAATGCGACAGCTGATTAACGGAAAAACATATTTTTTCAAACAGATACATGTACAGCGTATTTCTAAAGCGTGTTTCGTTTTTTGCAAATATGATATACTGCTTCCGCTAGATACAGACAGTATAAAGGTTTGCAGGTGTATTAGTTTGCTGTTGCATTATACTTCTTATTATTGTTTTTTGTGCTAAGAAGAGACATTGTGTCGCTAGCATTGCTACCGATAGCAATATGCCATCACACATTACTGTTGAGTTAATTTATGCAAAATAGAAATTTCATAGGCAGTTCCTTTCGACATCAATTAGAATACAAAGCATTCACGATTTTTTTTCAATATATTGGAGTAATTGTAATTGTAATAAAATATTGTAATTGTTGAAAGATTAAACTGCAAAAACGGCCACTAATACTGGTGGAACAGTGTATCACATATAAAAAAAAATTACACAAAAACATATTAAATTTGCTGTCACCACTGACGTATGACATATCACTATGGGGAATACTGGCAGCAGCAAAAAACTCTTCTCAGCCAAAAAAATTACAAAAAGAGTCTCAACTAAACCGGCAAACAGATCCACCTGCAAACTATTATTCACAAAATTGAATATCCTTCCATAAGCCTGTCTTTATCTACAGGAAGCAGTATGTCATATTTATGAAACAATAAACAAACTTCCAAAATATCATAACATACACCACTATCATACTCAATCTATCAGTTTGATCTATCCTAGGCTAGAACATCCTGATCTGGTGTAAAAAAGAAACCAAATAAATAATTCTTATTCTGAAAATTCAGGGGTTTTGCCTCTGGTTAAAACGTATCCTTTAAACAGAAATTTAAACGCATCCATAAATCAAATAAATTTTCTTATTCACTTCCATGATTCAGAGTCTTCATTTCCAAATTGATTCACCTGAAAACCAGTGTATGAAAATAACCGTGTGTGAAGTTATCGATATTATTTGCATGTATGTTAACCGTGTATACCATGTACCAGTATAAAGAGTGTTGAAGTGTTAATAACTTTGGCATTTAATAGATTCACAAGATTAGAACTTTTCCAATTCAAAAGTGGAAACATTAGTCATTATTAAAATAAAAGAGAATATCAATTTCATCAACTGTAAAAAACAGAAGCCTTTTGATAATTCCCTTTTACATTGATTCAATAATTAGTTAATATCATAATGCATCCTTACAACATTTTCAGTAAATGTAAATCATTTTTAATATCATTTTGTTGACAGATACAAGAACGAATGAGTGAATGAACTGGAAGCTGCAACAATAAGCAAAATTGAAAGGATGCCAAAAATGTTTGTAAAGAAGCAAATTCCTTTTCGTCTCTTTAATTAATAATAAAAAATCCAATCAAAATGAATAATACACAAAATTTCAAGTATGTCAAAAGATACAAGATTTTGAATACAATAACGATCCAACCAAATTTCAGCAAAAACTAGTTAGAATTTTTCTCATTTAAATTTTTTCATTGTGTATAATTTTCTTTCTGGCCTAGAACTACGAAAGAAAATATTTGATGATGTTGAAATTGGTTGAATAGATGACATTTCTCTAGACTAGTAAAATAAAAACAGCCGTCACAAAACAAGTCAAATTGATCAATGACAGGACAAATATGTATTTAAAACAATGTACAAAACGATTACCACTTGACACGAATAAAAACAGGCGGGTAGTGAAAATAAATCGTGGAAAAACTAGCTATACTATCGAGCTCTTGTATTTACAATCAAATAAAAACCATCACCAGCTAGAAATGATAATAAAACCTATTCAGTTAAGAGTACATACCAGTTTTCGAATTATATATTCAAAAGAACTCAGTTATTGTAATTTTTTTATGATTTTTCATAATTTTCAACTACCAACCCAATATTTTCTTCTGTTGAATCAGTTGATAAGGTCTAATACAATTAAACAAATATTTGAATTCTCATCGAACAAAGTAGTCAAATTCTCCGAAATAATTCGAAAATTCGTATCTGGAAAGAGCAGGTGATAAAAACGAAAATTAAAAGGGGGGGGAGAAAAATAAGGTAAGACCATCATGCCCCACAGCTCAAGACATCTAGCAATGTGAACGTGAATACCTTGCAACCACGGAAGAGGTCTATGTCTTACCGTACAAATTCATCATAGAGCTAGACTTGCGCCCTTTAAAGTTTTGATAAGCTGAATACTTAGGTCTGCCGCGTACCTGAGCAGGAGAGGGGTCTGTAAAAATATCGTTAACATACATACACTACTCGCCAAGTGGTGGTTTGGATAGTTCAGATTTTTGTTCCGCTTACACTATTCAACCCCATTCTGACAAAACAGATTTTGAAGCAACTAGTGTTTGTGAAAAATTGTTCAATGTTGTAGTTGAACTTGTGTTAGAAAATAATTGTTTCTCAAAGGCAGTACCTGACACCAATTCCATGAAAAAAAATTCAAAGAATAGCGTTTCCTTATTTTAGACATTCAGTAGATCACTAGACTTATTCATTAAGATTGTCAAATACATCATGAGGATTCATTACTCTTACCAAATGAGGTACTTGTACGTTCCAATATATAACAGATGTCAACAATATATAAAAAGATCTCTAATTATGAGATTTGTTTTCATAAGAATCATTTAAATGGTACTTTGTGCATAAATATTCATTAACTTTGGTCAAATGACTTCTGGAAAATAATATAAAAGCTTCAGGTATTAATTTCCCCACACAGGTGCAACACAACCGTAGATAAAGAGACAAGTGAAAGGAGTTTGTCAGCATCTACAATGGAAAAGCTATCAACTCACCTTGCTTGCGCCAAAATCTGTGTTGTACCATTTTAGCCCATCTACCCTGCAACTTAAGTGCTAAATTTCCGAAAAAGGGAAACACCACAACAAACAAATTTCAACAGTATAGAAATGGATGCAAAAACCAAATCTTAATGAAACCAATTGGACAGTAATAGTAGCGTGCGATATATTTGTATATATTTGGAGTTCTACGTCCGTTTACAAACACATTTACAAACAAGAGAAGCACCCGCTTCCGATATGCCCTAGGGTTACGTACCTCTGCTGGTTTTGTACGAACTCCGCCGTCCCAAAGTCTGGTTGGCACTGTGACAGGGGGACATACCCCTGCTGTCGTCAGGCGAATCTGAAATATACCCACACCACGTGTACATTTTTACCCAAGCTACAAAGTGGACTTGTCACAAGATATTGAAAACACTGTCCCATGTCACAAAAGCAGTATAGTCGAACTAATATGGTTAACAAAAATTCACTAATTGTTACAAATCAAATTAAAAGAAACTATTTCAGATTGAAATGATTGTTGCTTCTCAATTTTCTTGAATGGAAAAATGTATTTTGAATATGTCAAAATAGTTTTCGAAGAGTTCATTCACATTATGTTTTCAAAATAGTAAAAGTTTACTGAATTTTTGCTTCTTCGGTTATGCTTGTTTCTCTAATTAATATCCCCAATAGTTTATTAATGAATGACATAACGACTACAAATTTGGTTCAATTTGTTACAAAACAAACATAACTTATGAAAAAAAAATACAAACTTCAGGTGGCTTGATAAAAAAAACTATACAAAAAATAAGAAAAAAAACACACCTTTATACAACATGCCGCTGCTCATGCTTCTGTCAGCTAAGCTGTCTTGTGAACCTCTATAGTAATCTCGTTTCATGGTGGATGGAGCATAAGCTAAATAATAATAAAAAAATACAAACGTGCAGAAATTTTAAATCAAATTGAAAATCACCATCGACAATAAAAAATTATAGAGAAATATCCATCGACTGTTTCAATATTATGTACACTGTATTGTTATTGAAAATATTATAGTTACAAAAAAGCTTTTTCGATTACCCATTTACTCACCAAGATTTGAAGAAGACCCTTTCTTCCCTCTACTAGACATCCCTTCTGCCATTTGGACTGAACCGCTATCGATGTGGATTGTTTTAGGACGGGGTCTAGTATTACCTTTGGGTCTCATTTTAGGTGCAGGTTTGAGAGACGAAAGTTCTGCTCTATCCAAAGTTTTGCCCTAGAGGGAAATATTATTAAATTTAGAAGCAATTCAAGAAAAATACATGACAGAAATTATGGATGTTTATCAATAACTACGTAGTACATACCAAATATTTAAACTAGTCTCATGGGTTACAACAAATTTGATAAGCTAGAATCGTACTTGATAAACATGGTGTTTCTTAACTACGGTACGAAACTTCAGGTAACTACTTAATTGGTCAATTTTTTCTACCAGCAATATTAACAGGTGAATCCTACACCAACTTTTCAGGAGATCATTTACTTATTTTGTTAGAAGTGCCGGTACTTATAAGAGACAACATGTGGTTTATGCACGACGGGGCTCCAGTTAATTTTAGTGTTCTTGCTTGTCAGCATCTCGACATCATCTACCCTGATCGCTGGATTGGACGTGCAGGACCTCAAAATTGGCCAGCTCACAGTCCTGATATGAATCCTCTGGATTTATATTTATAGGGTCATCTGAAGGCTCTTGTTTATAAAACTTCTGTACTAGATGTGAATGACTTGAAGAATTGAATAATTGACAATTGCAATGTCATAAAGAATACTCCAGATATTTATTAACGTGTTAGACAATCAATGACAAATCTATTGCAGTCGTGTATTTATCGGAAGGTAGACATTTTGCTCATTTACTTTGAGGTCGAAATTGTCTATTACATATTTATTTTTGGTTTTTATTTTGTTGTCCATGGATAGTTTCTCGAAGTGATTTTATTTCAAATGAAGCTTGATATGAAGAAAACACAAGCGACGAAAAAGTTGTATTTTCAGTTGTTTAATATAATAAAATAAAAAACTACAAAGTCAGTGGCGTTCTTTTCTTTCTCAAAATGGTTGGCTGAGACGCCATTGGACCTAATAATTTCAATCTAGTTCGGGCAAAATAAGCGCCTTATTACTTTAAATAACTAGCAAATTTCAACCGAATCGGTATAGGGATATTAATATTTTATAAAAACCGTTTTTTTTTCAAACTTCAACGCCATGTATCTCAGAAACGAAGCAACTTCGGACATATGTTCATAGAAACTTTTTTTCTTAAAACGACCTTACAAATCACCCTCTGCAGTTTTGTACTGTATTTAGATAACACCCTGTGTAGAACCGTGATAGTGAAATGAGATAGTTTCACCTCGATTAGCCAAGTCTTGAAACATGGTCAACTACAGGGTTCAGTTCTTGACCCTTTACACAAAATGTCTTGTGAATTATTCTTAAGAGATAGATATTTAGTGTCGCGGACTTTTTTCAGATCGATCAAAATGTATCTTTGTACTACATGGTAGTTATGTATAATTAACCATTAAGCCAGCCCATGCCATTTTATCCTCCGACAAATATAAATATCTAAGGCTTAATTATTGTTGTTGAATAATGCTACATAGTCTATAGTCTTTTTCATGAATGTGGCTGTCACACAAAAATTATTTTTAAAATCTAACTACTGATTTCAGATAATAACACATTCAAACAAACAACCAAAAAACTAATCAATTTTATTATACCTACATATATATGATATCTGAATGTCAATTCAAATTTGTTTCATGGATTTGTCAATGAGATATTTGTTGACAAAAAATCTCATATCTGCACTTTCGGTACTTGATGAAAACTAAATTGTACATTTCAAGAACCCCCGAAAACATAATGAAATTTCGATTTGTTATTGCTAATACAATATCCAATTTTGAAAGAGCTATTTTGATGGAAAGTTGTTTTAGTGTTATGACATTGGGATGAATTAAAACAACTGAGAAACAATAATTGAAAAGTCTCATAATAAATGTTCAGAAATATGAATGATTTTTCAAAACATATTCATTATTATAATTTCTCAAACATTGAAAATCAATGTAACAAAATCTACTAAATTCCACCAATGCATTATTCATCTTACTACTTAAAAAAATATTTACCAAAGACCAGTAGATGAATGACATTATTTCCTCTCAATATCTAATGTCATTGATACAAAAACTCAAATTTCAAAAATGTTACAGATGAACCGATCAGAACATCACCTATTACTTTGTGTCCTACCGGAATAACGCGAGAATATTGACTAATGTCGAGTGTTAATGTCCTAGAGAAAGAGCTCTTGGAATAGTCAGAAATATGCCATTAAAATAAAAAAAAGGAAAGCCTCGGGAACGCGGTGATTTCATCGCGTATAATTCATAAGGGTAAAAATAGATTACACATGTGTAGCAAGAACAAGGTGTCTCCAGTCATATATTTCAACGATTTGAGGGGTGGGCTCAACATGTAGGGACTGCTCAATAAACAACGTTAAGTATTTATAGCATTTCAAGTGAACTCTGCCTGTTTCAGTATTGTGGAAACATATCCTAATGAACAAATTTGCATTAGGGAAAAAACTTAAGTATGAAAAAATAACATTTCGTTTTGTGTATATAAAAAAAATTATTGTATGATTTGGCATTTTGATGTACTATTTCAACTATTAGAAAGTTGTGGATAAAAAAAGCGAGTGTGCTTTAGATCTCAAGACTGAAGTAAAACTTCTATAACTCCATCTATATGTAGTATATATATGTACATATATTAATTTTTTACAAATATTCAAATTTATTATGGATTTTACTGTTAAATTAACATTTTTGACATTAAATGCGGAGTACCTCAGGGATCTGTCCTCGGCCCTTTGCTGTTTTTATTATATATGAATGATCTGTCATATATATTAAAGACAAATTCATAAGTTTTGCTGACGACACGTCTATACTTTGGCATGGAAGAAGCACTGATGCACTAAAAATAATTACTTTCTCGGGTAATATATTCCCAGTCACTCAAGCTGTTTGACAAAGAATATTATAGTAACCTCCATCTTGCCTTTGAAATTATTAGACAATTCGATGGTCAACTTTTGTTCTAAAACACATCTCACTTTTTGAAATTATGTGTTCAGTTTGAGATAAGATGAGAAAGTAGAGGTGGGGGAAGATAGAGAAAGCGAGAAAGTACTCCACTTCCAAAAACGAAGGCTTTTCTTAACTATCTGGACTGGTTTCGTATTGTTTATACACAGGCATGACACTATTATTTAATTATGAAATGTCAACGTTGACAGGAAAATATATATGATAAACTCGGTGGAAATTGATGTGATTTTCATAAACTGGCAAACAAGGATTCCTTAAGGTTGTCCTTATAATGTAAGTAAGATCTACCTTAAACAATATCTGTTTGAGGTTATCGTGCATTTTGTCTCAAAACAGTGTTGATTCAAATACTATTCCAAATTACCTCTATTCTCAATTAGAATGAAAATTAAGGGGATATCTAGAGAAAACTGCATCAATTATTGTTCCATGCCATGTGGTAGACTCATTTCGGTTATTATTCATTTGTAGTTCTAATTTATCTTGCATATAAAGTTTATCAAGAGTTGTCCACCTTCGGACGCGAAATTAACATTGAAATCTCTTGCTAAAATTAGTGACAACGTATGATAATTTTCTCCTAATTCTTCAGAGCCTACTTGACCGTAAATGTGTGCTCGCACCTCTCTCTCTTGCCCCCACAGTAATATACGAAATGTAACTCTCTCTTTCTATCGTCACTGTGTTGATCACAAAATATTGCTTCAAAAACTTGAAATCTACGGATTTGGAGGAAACATCTTGTTGTGGTTTGAGTCATATATCTATCACTTCATGTTCAAGTAGTGAATTTCAAAAGTTCATCTTCAGATAAAATGAGCATTAAATGCGGAGTACCTCAGGGAACTGTCCTCAGCCCTGCACTGATGCACTAAAAATTAGGGTTGAGCATGATATACGCAAAATTAAACAATGGTGTGAATCCAATTTATTAGCTTTCAATATATCAAAGACTAATATAATGTCCTTTATAATGTCCTAACCTAACCTAACCTAACCTGGACCATATAATTCTTGAAGAATATATCATTGATCATAAACTAGAGAACAAATTTTTAGGCGTCAACATAGACAACAAATTAAAATTTGGAATGCATATTAGTACACTATGCAAAAAATTATTCTCGAGTTGTTATGCGATCTATCTCTAACTCTTTGGACTATCACTCTGCTAGAAAAGCATACTTTGCACTTCTTGAAATCCACTTGCGGTACGGAATTTGTTTCTGAGGGAGCAGCTGTCAAAACTCAACGAGTCAAGTTTTCACAATACAACAAAGAGCAGAGTGATTCAATTCCTGTAATCCCCTTTTCTAGCACATCACATCTTAACAGTCTACTGCCTCTTTATTTTAGAAACAGTCTGTCTAATGCACAAAAAGCACAAAGATAACATCTCGAACTAAACTCAAAGTTATGCCACTCGTCTCACATTCAATATTCCTCTTCCTATTCCGCCAACAGCACAAATTAAAAACTCGATTCTTTTCAATAGCAAAAAATATATCAATCATCTCCCTCTTTCAATCACAAAGTTAACCTGCTACAAACAGTTTCGAAAAAGAGTAAAAAAACTTCTGCTAGATAAAGCTCATTATAGTATTGAGGAATTTCTTTCGGATGACTTCGCAACTTATAATTGCAACTTATAAAATTTTTATCACAGACTTTTACCACAGACTTTTTGAAGTGTGCTTGAGCCATAATATCATGTTTTTATTCTTGACCTTTATTTTAATGTTTCAGATTGTTTTACTTCTTAAGCCTGCTTTGTCAACAAAACATAAACTTCGTTCGTCTATTCCGATCACATTTCTCGTAACGCTCTCGTCACGCATTCAGCAGCTCACTCCCCAAGTCTAGCGTGCTCAAAGAAGTTTTACTTCAAATATGATGTCACTATAGGCGCTATATGCAGTATGTGCGTATATTTAATTCCAGGACACATAATTATTTTCTCTGGTAATATATTCCTCAATAAGATCAAGTCACTCAAGCTGTTTGACAAAGAATATTATAGTAACCTCCATATCTGTTTTTGTCTCAAAACAGTGTTGATTCAAATACTATTCCAAATTACCTCTATTCTCAATTTTTTTTAATTATTATCTATGTAAAGTGAAATTTTTATATTCTCATGACTGCCAATTGTACTCTGTATGTAAATATGGCCAATAAATACTACTACTCTATACAGGAAGAAACTGAATAAAATATGCAAATTCCCTCAAATTTTTTCACTCTTCTCATTTCAACACAAGCACAAAATTCATGAAACAGTAGATTTCCATTGCTTGCTTTAAAGAAACTTTCAAACATTATGTAACTGATGACTGATCAAGTACAAACACTCCAAAAAACCCTGACAGTTGTCATAATACATGTTTTATTTTGCAAGTGTGTTATTTGCTACATCATGACTTCTAATTTTAGCCTCACTTGGATTGGATAAGTTTTACAAATGGTATTTTCAACCAATAATTAAGCCAGAATTCAATGTCATAGAGTAAGCACATGTTCAGAAAGAAAGTGGATAAGGATGTATTCAATAACCATTTAACCAGCTGTCATCCCTCTACTAACGAAAATCCTCAAAAGTAGAAACCTGTACGAGCTGAGGATTAACGAGGTCTTATTCATCAACGTGTGATTTCTAGCGAGGGTTCTAGGACAATAAAGCATATTCTCTCTCTCTCTCCCTCATCAACAATAGTCGATTACATATCGAAAGGTTGAAATGAATGCATATCAAAAACTACACATAATGTTACTTAGATGACAAGAAACCTAGCATGGCTTTTTGATTCAATTGTCCAAAATATGAGATGCTTTTTGAATTCAGTATTTTTCAATGTTTATTTAAACATTTTGGGAAGATGCTGTTTACGTTAGATTCCTTCATATTATTTCTGATAGAATAAATGAAGGAGCTAGTTTTGAATTCTCAAGAACAAATTTAGGTTCAACAAATGGTTCCGAATTCTGCAAATTCAATTTTGAAGATGATCACTTGGTGATCGAAACATGTGTCGAGGTGTTAAAAATAACGATAAAACTCCAGTAATATTCATTACTACACCAACGGTTCCAAATAGTGCATCACAAGTTGATATACTTTGTTTTAATATTTTAAAATTGTTATGCGGTTTTTGTATCGAAGCTTAGCTTACAGTTAGTAACTAAAATTTGAAATCAGTTTTGGTCAACGAAGAATTTTGTTTCATTTTGTAGTTTTGAATTCGTCTCTCAAAAACCAGATTATGAAAAAATTATATAAATTTTAAGACCATCTTTTTCACAAACCTCCCTCTCTGCTTCCTCTAACGCTTTCTTCAATTTATACTGCTCGAAAATGGCCTGACGCCTAGCAACCTGCTCCTCTTTCTTCCTAGCCTTTTCCTCCTCCTTCATTTTCTCCTGTTCTTTCTTAGCTTGCGCTTCTGCCTCCTTCCGTGCTTTAGCCTCCTCTTGCTGCTGTCTCCTTTGAAGTGACAACATCATTATTTTTTCTTTTTTACGTTCCCTCTCGTAATCCAAGTCCTGTCAAAAACGTGCAATTCATTACAATTATTCATGAATTTTTTAACTGACTTACCGGATCGGGATTGCTCAAATCATTTCCTATAATAATAGCACTGGCAGCATTGACTTTCTGCCTTTCCTGACTAGCTTCTCGTTTGGCCCTCAACCTCTCTCTTTCTTGTTCAATCAGAGCTTGCCGCCTTCGATCCTCTTCCTCATTCCTCAATTTCTCTTCTACCAATTCCCTCTCCAGTCGTTTCTTCAGCTCTTGTCTTTGCTGTTCTTCCTTCAGATGAAATATAAGATGTAAAAATAATATTATAGAATCTCAAAACTCAATTCAAATCATGTACTATACATCAAATAAGGCAGCTAAATAATTTGTTGACAAAAAATCTCATATCTGCACTTTCCAAAAAATCTATATTTTACAGGGGAATAATTGTCTATAAAGAACTACCAGATGATATTGAAAAAAAATACAGCCAAATTTGAGTTGTAAATAATTATTTGCTATATCAATTTACATCACATTTAAATGTTTTTCTTTTTACTGAAATATCTTGTAAACATTTATTTAAAATATTGTAGTTTCTTAGGTATGAATGTTCATTTTATATTGGTTTATGTGAAGTATCTTTGTGTAGTTATAATTTTTAGTGTTTTTTATTTCATTGTGTATCTAATATGTCTGATTAATTTAAAATAGTTATATTTTCAACACGAAAAAACTCCTTTTCAAGCCTTGAAGAAGAACTCAATCAAGTCTGAAATGTTGGCAAGAAAACAATTGTTTTTTTTAAGAAAAATTGATCCATACAACCGTACAATGTGTTACCGAATAAAAAAAATTAAATTTGTATTCAGTTTGAATAATTATTTGTTAGTATTGTTGTAAATCATGCCCGAAATAAAATAACGCCGGCCGCCACTGGTAGCCATAAACCAATGGTGACGTAGCTAAGAGCGCGCAAATGTACGATGATTCCCCGCCACTCGAGAAGCAGCGAGAATAATGCTACCGACTTCGATAGAACTTCGGAGAAATTTCTACGGCATTCGATTGCGATATTTAAAGACTAGCCACGAGGATACTGAGATAGTCAAGTGGACGTTACAATACGGTACACGAAGTGATCTAGTAAGGCAATAGACATTCAAATAATAGTTGAAGTTTTAGTTGAAGTATTTGTGTATTTAAAGTGAAATAAAGTTAAATTTGATTATTCAGTGTAGTCATTATTGGTCAACCCATGGGTAAAAACGTAACAGTATAATCACAAATAAAAGTCGCATAATTCTCAATTTTTTTTTCAATTTCCACTAAATCCAATCCCAAATGGTTAATTTCCCACCTATAAACATTGTACGTTCCTTGACAAATAAATGGTTGCTATCAGCTAGTAGTACTAACGAGAAACTCCAAAACACAAACCCTTCTCTCAATCGCCTCCTCCGGTGACTCGACGTAGCTCCTTTCTTTCTTTGGAGACATCCGTTTCGTCCTGAGAGGAGGCTTAGGCCGTTTGGGTTGATCGTCGTCGAAGCTGATGTAGAAGCCTTTCTGAGTGGAAGGATCGTTGTCGAGACTGCTCACTTCGCCGATCGGAGGCGGTTCTAGATTCGGAGGAGACGGAGACGGTTGAAACGAGTTGCGCGTGATGGCGGGTCGAGTGGGGGACGGTATCCTGTAAGTTCTGCTGCCTGAAGTAATGTTGAGTCTGCTGAGACCTACAAAAAAGGTAGCGAGTTTTGACAGATATAGATATAAATTACTTTAAAATCATTAAATTTTCTGCAAAAAGGGCAGTCAAATCATACTACATTCTTGTATTTTCAATCAAATCATCGGCAGTTTACACTTTTACAAAAATCAAGTAGACTTCAAAATGAAAAGTTTGATTTCATTGCTTTCTGTAGAATCATGTGTGAGAAGTTTCTTCCTTTCTATAGGCTCACTACTAGGCTAATCTCTTACATATCAGGAAGTTATTTGCTGCAATGAATTCATCAGCATATTTGGAGTAATTGAAAATCACAGGTAGTTGAAAAATAATTTCTTCAAATATCTCATTTATTGAATACTCGCACCCACTGTTTCTCAATATCAAACAAAGGGCATTGAAAACACTTAAAGTATTTGAAACAACGGCTGTAAGGAAAATAACAAGATTAAGGCATCCCAATAACCCCAAACACAACCTTCCAAACCCTCTGCTGTACCAACTCACTGGTATTATCCCTATTGAGGAAAGACTACCGTCACTTACTCAGAAGTTTGCTAGAAAAGATGACAATGTAGAAATTATTAGAAAGTATGCTGTGACAAGAAACCCCCATGCAAGAGTACGACATCGACACCCAACAGAAACACTGTTAGAAAAATCAACGCAACTTTATCAATGAAATTGTTTTGTTTGTTCATTTTTATTGTAAAATAAGCCATGTTATTTCAAAGCAATTTTGTTACACGGGCGGAAGGACTTCGATCGATAGCCAGTTGAACAAAATTGTAATTTTGTTCAATAAATTACAATTATTATTATTGTAAATATTATTGTCCTAAAAAGTGTGTTGGTCAACATGTACACAGTTCCTTTGAATATCCTCTCACCAGTATTTCACCCTGTGGATGATTTCAGCTTTGGACCACTTGATGTTTATGTGTCCAAACATGCTCCGCTTTCGAAGGCCTCTTGGATTCAGCGATACATGAGTTGCAACATTCACATGGTATATGGTAAATGCAATTCTTAGAGTTGGAGTCTTTGCAGCTTGGTTTTTGTGAGATTGCTATGAATGGTATTCTCGTATTTAGACCCAATTCTTCATCAGCGATAAGATTGAGAAAAGTAGAGCAAATTTGGACTCATCAACATAATAAGTGATCCGAAGTTAAAATAATCCAAAGGAAAGAATACTGGTTCAACAGGAAATTTAAAGAAGCTGGGTACATATTAACCAATGACAGACGCAGCCAAGGTAGTGTGACCTCTGATCAAGAATTTATAATCTACATGGCACTGAAAAGAAGCCGACAGGAGCGGGAGGAGAGGTGACCTATAAATAGTCCCAAGTATCAGGAATAGACCGATAGTAATAATCAAAATGTCTTGAAGTAACTTGAAACGTTTTTGTTATTTTTATTGCATTTTTGCACATTTATCTTGATCATTTTCATTTCATTTTTATTGTTTGTATATAATTTACAATTCACTTATTGTTTGACCCTCAATCAATTTTCAATCCCTTTGTTTTTTTTTTCACATATTGCCGCTCTTGCAGTTTTTTCGAATTGCTCATTAATTTTTGCTTTTTTTGACATTATTTCCATTTGAACCAATTCATAAGAATATTTCGATCCGATTATTTTTATATCTTGAAATGCGATTAAGTTCAATTTCCTTTGCTTTTTCATAGATTTTCAAATCTGTTAACGCCTTTTCAGACAATGGAAATTCGAACTTCTCATCCATCAAAAAACATTATCAATCATTTTCAAAAAGTTTATTTTTGCCTGCATTTTTTTTGCGGTTTGTGTAGAAACTGGCTAGGCTAACATTTTTCTATAATGTGCACTGCATTAATTTTCATTGGCAATTATAATTCTTATAGGTATCCTAACAACTCACAGTAATTCACTATCTCACCTTCACTAAGCTTGTCAGCAGCATTGCCAATGAAAGAAATATTCTGGGGTTCCATATCATCGGGAGGTGGCGCCGGAATCGGAGCATGGGTGATGCTACTTTTCCGCTGGGGTGGTTCTCGATTATCCATTTGTTGCAAACTGACGGGAGCTCGTTTACTGTCGTCCAGCAGCTGGGAGATTTGTCTGTGAATATTCCTATGCTGCGGGGAGGCAGAAGGAGTACTGTGAGAAGTGCCGTAATGGGAATGATGGTGCTGTTGGCTCAATGTGAAACTGCTCGAGTGTTGGAGAGGGTGTTCTTCGCCGCCGCCATTTTGGTAACGGGGACTTTCCGAGTAACGGTTGCTCTCTTGATATCTTGGTTGTTCTTGATACCTTGTGTCATATCTGTGAAAATTTGAAATATTATTAGATAGAGAGACATTCGTCATTTCAGGTTGTTTTTACGACATGTCAAAAAGTAAAAACAGTAATAATAGAAAATTTCATATGAAAAAATAACATATTGGAATGAATACATATTAAAATTTGTACACACTATACAAATGAAGAGAAAATTAGCCTTGTTTTTGAATATGAGCATCTAAACTAAAGAATAAAATTCTCCTCAAAATGAGTACTTGTTCAAAGTCTGTTTGAAAGCATATAAAGGTGACCGTTTGTGTTATGATCCGAGTATGAGATGCAAGTGGGAGGCTAATTTTCTTTCTGGTTTCATATTTGTGGTACTCACTTTTTTTTATTTAGTTTTTCGTTATTAGAAAAAGTTAATGTTAGTAATTTATGTGAATAAATGGATGTGAAAGATGAAATATTATTACCAGTAGATTGTTCTTACATCTGAAGTCAAAATCAATTATTCATTATCATTCATTTATTTATTTAATTAATATTTCCATTCAGTAAATTTATTTTCTCACTGTTATTCTTTATTAATAAATTAGTTTTACTTTTAGCAAGTAAGTTAGATGTAATTATTTGTTGTATTCATATAATTTATTGTGAAATATCTTAAACTTAATTGGGTGTTACCCGTTAATGAATAAATAAATAACTCATAAATGAATATTTCTGTATTTATTCATCAATTTCGATTTTGTTCCCTACGAAGCAGTCCTCATCAGATATAATACACTTGTGTCAGCGTTTTTTCCAATCCTCGAAGCAGTTTTGATATGTAATTTGTGGTATGACCTTTACCTTCTCAATCGTCGCAAAATGCCGTCCTCTCGGGAACAGGAAAAAGTCGCAGGGGAACAAATCTGATGAATAAGGTGGTTTTTGGCCAAAATATCACAAGCAGTGACGAGTGAGCAGGTGCATTATCGTGTTGCAAAAGCCATGAATTGTTTTTCCACGATACTGGGCGTTTTCTTCATGTAGCTTCTCGCAAACGGTGCATAACTTTAAGATAATACTCCCTATATGGCAGGAACTCCTGCAGTGAGCAAAACCTTGATATCTGATCAAACTTTTCGTGCTTTTTAAAAAAGAAAATGGTTTCCTGAAATGTTATCAGCTAACAGGTCTTCGAAATGAACTCTCCTGGGCTCTTCCATTGGGACGATTGGACTTTGGTTTCGATGTCATAATCATATACCCATGATTCGTCACCAGTTATGACTGTTTTGAGCAAATCTGGATCGCCGTTGACGTCATTCAACAATTCCTGAGCGATGCTCATGCGACGGTTTTTTTGGTCAAAATTCAGCAATTTTGGAACGAACTTTGCTGCGAAAGGTTTCATGTTCAAAATTTACGAAAAAATTACATGGCATGAGCCAACCGATACGTCCACATCCTCAGCAACTTCTCTAATAGAGATTCAACGATTCTCCGAAACAATTTTCTTCCCTTTCTCAACATTTTCATAGGTTGTTGATGTGCTGGAGTGTCCAAGGCAAGCGTCAGAATTCATATATTCTTGACCCTCTTTAAAAAGCTTGTACCACTTGTAAACATTTTTCTGACTCAGAGTACATTCACCGTATGCCACTGTCAACGTTCCAAGTGTTTTTGACCACTTATTTCCAACATCACCAGCAAACTGTGAACATATGTTCAAAACAAAGGTACCAACATAAAAAAATCGCAAAATCGCTAATCGAAAGTAAGTAGCCCGCGAAATTTGAACATTTACTTCATTTTTTGAACAATCCACGCATAATATAATCAGGTACGGCAGATGGATATTTGACCTGAGTGTTTGAAACACATAATTTTAAGCTTTTTGCAAACAGCATCCTTTCGAATATTCTTTGAAAGACATTTTTGTGGAGGAGTCAATGTTTTTTGCTGTTTTTTGAGTGTTTAACCTTTCATAATCTGACTTCAGTGGTTTACGATTCGCATCAATGTCATTTTATAGAATTATTTTACTTTTCAACTATCATGCATAAAATGTAAATTAATTTGTCATTTCATTCAAAACAACACTTATGAAGTTAAATTAAATTTGTTGGCATTACCTTATTCAAATTTAATATTTATTACACTTCAATTATATTGATCTGTCCGTACCTATCTGTGTCGTGCAGAACAAAACCTCCGCCGGTGCTCTGAGGTTTGTTCCATGTCCTCAGTTCAGGCTGATGATATGACTCCATGGGAATGGGAGGCGGTTGTGGTTGCTGGGCCCAAGTCCTCCTCTGCGGAGTGACCGGAGGGACTGGAGACATGGGCGCAGCCGGTTCGTGTAGGAAGAACTGCGGTTGCTCTTGTATCCGTTGTTGGGCGTAGAGAGCTTGAGGTATGTGGGGTGCACTGGCGGATGATTGCAATGGCGACGCATATACTGAAGAACATGAATGATGATAATAATAATAATACATTAAACTCGACATTAAATGAACACAGTTTGCTAAAATAGTCACATGAAATGTTAAATAGATAGGTTAATATTTGGGAAAGGAAGAAATAGTTGGCTATTTTTTTGGTAGAAATGAAAATCAGATTCTTAACCAACATGAATTCAAATATATCCAATTTGAACACTACTGATACCTTTTGTCTCTGTTCTCACAGCTCTTCAGTTAATTCTAGACTTCTCACTTTCACTACCAGGAAGTTTAAGATTATTTAACGTTTATTGATGCTAAGAAACGTACTATGTTAATAGAGGGAGAGAGAGATAATAACACTAGTTAAAATAATTATATAGAGTGCTTCAGACAAATAAAGCATTAGTTATACAAGATAGTTCGCCATACCTAGTTCCGAGTACCTTATCCTGGTAATTAATTTTTATTTTTAGTTTATCAATAAAATCGCATTATTGTACATTTAAAATTGGCAATGTACTGAGTATGGTAAGTGAAGCTACTGTAGAAAATTTAGTTATTACCTTGTTGATTCTCACTTTGTTTCAACTAAAAATGTATTTGAAATACAAAATATGGAAACATTCAACTTCAAAATCAACTCAAAAATACACTTTATATCAGACTTCTAGAAAAGTCAAACATTAGATGTAGAATAATATCCATGACAAATTGAATAAAAATATACTTTCCTTATCTCATTTTCAATTTATCACTAATCATATTTATTTTATTGCTAGTTACACAAATAATTGTTTCTTGAAATTGATAAGAATTATATCAGTACATCATAAACTTCAAATATGACATAATGTGATTTTATTAAAAGACTAAAAGGAAAAGTTAATTACTGGGATAAGGTACTTTGCTTGACTGAATTTTCTCTTTCATTTCTTCCTAGATTGTCATTTCTGACTAACAGTTTGTTTGTGAAATGTGTCAACACATCTCTATTAAAATCAATATTTACAGAATCATGAATTTTTTCTCATCATTTTAGTGAAATAAAAATAAAACCAATTTTGTATTTTAATTGATTAGGAATATAAACACAAAGGGGTTTCAATGCAGAAATTAGTTTTTCAATTCGATCTAGAATATCAATGAATTGTTTGTTTCTCTGAATGTTCAATTCAATTATTCCCAGTCTTCATTAAACACTACACAATTATGTCGACCTACAATGTGAAAATTAACAACTTCCCAACATAAAATAACTTCTTCTTTGTGCAAGAATCCTCACGAAGCCAATTCTTGTGAAATACTTCTGACTGACCAGCATCAGAAATTTGTTCAACTTAAACTTAATTAGTAGACTATTTTTGAAATATCAAAAGTGTACAATCTTTTTCAGATAATGAAATATTACCAAAAATTTTAAGTGGTATAGCCAAATTGAACAATGCAACAGATAAGGAGAGAAGAATTCTAACTGCCCTGAAATCGATGACAATTGTTAAACAACAAGAAGCATTTGCAAGGTTGGGGGAGACTCTAATTCATCTTGAACGAGAAGGGTATGAATTTCTGGTGAAACCATAGATGACGACTTCTTAAAAAAACCAGTAGCACTGGGCTGCTATAAACAAACTAACCTTTTGATAAAGAGTTGCTTCATTTCATGAAATTCACTGAAAAGTAACCCCATGTTACAATTCTGGATGAATTTCATGAAATTTGTCGGCACTTATCAATTATTCCATATCTATATCTTTGTAAAATTTTAGGACAAATAAATATTATTACAATGAAAAGTGCTCGACTACTTTAGTAGAATACTTCGGTGGTGGGATCCACCGCCTTTGTTTTGGCGCCCTAATAATCAAGAATTGGTTGAAATTTTGCAATGGAATAGGAATGAAAGAGCAGTGTGAGCATAAGTGTTTAAAAATTCAACAACATCTTATATCAAAATATCTAGGCATAGAAACAAGACGTCAATCTTGCTTTTTTACAATAAGATATGTACTATTAACTATTCCCAACAGCGAACACAATGTTGCTTCATTCCAGAGTCCCATCCTCTCAAAACCAATGTGGCACCGATCATTCCAGTTCTATCCAAGATATTTGAATTCCTACAGAAAAACCAGCTACAGGATTTCTTTGAGGAAAACAGCCTGTTTGTGAATGAACAATTCAGCTTCAGAATTGGCAAATCAACTGCATTAGCAGTCAATGATCTATGTGACACTATAATAGCAGGCTTTGAAAGTGGTAAAATTGTGGGATCTACTTTCTGTGACCTGTCAAAGGCCTTTGACTGTGTATCACATGAAATTTTACTGAAAAAACTTGAATTCTATGGCCTCAATGGAATCAAGTTGGAACTGAGCTCGTTACCTGAAAGATAGACAAGTAAAATTTTGCGGTGGCACTCTCTCGGAAGTAAGAATCAACAGGAACGGTGTACCCCAAGGCTCAATTCTAGGTTCACTATTGTTCCTCATTTACATAAACAATATCAAATATTCCTTAGCTTAAAGCTCCCTAGTACTCTACTCTGACGATACGACTTTCACAAATTCCGAGGGAAACTTTGAATCTTTAAAGGATAGTATGGCCATTACAATGTCCAAAGCATCAGACTGGTTCACTTCAGAACGACTGCAACTAAATGGTAGCGAAACTGAATCAATGATTTTCTCTACCTTTCAGAATGATATAAATAAAAATCCAGAATCAGTAAAGTTTTTGGGAGTAAATGATATAGTCAGTGAAGTTAAATCATGACCCTTCCATCAAGATACATATATGAATGCATTATCTATATGCGTGAAAATATCAATCAATATAAAACTCAAAGCAATATACATAATCATTACATAAAAAAAAGAGACAATTCAAGGATGAATAATCTTAGACTATATAAATCTAGGAAGGCTTCACTTTATTATGCTCCAGAATTCTACAACTACCTTGCCAGATCAGGGATCTTAAAACAAATAAACTAAAGATTGTATTGAAAGATTATTTAACAAAGAAAGCCTTCTACAGCTACCATGAATTCCTTAACAGATAATTTGAAATGAAATGTAATCTTTAGAATGTTGTATTTATTGTATTTGTCGATATATTTTATATAATTTATAAGTTATATTTCTGTATCTGTGCTGTATTAACCTGTGTAAAAAGTTAATGTTCATTTTAACTCCAATAAAATATTCTATTCATGTTCACTGCCGCAGTAACATTTGCACGAAGAAATATTATGTCCCACTCCGCCCTTGATCATAATATCCTTACCTTGTTGAGGAGGTTGATACATTTGAGGCTGGTAAGACGGCTGAGAGGTGTATTGAGGTATCATAGGAGACTGAGACTGGATACTCTGGTATTGCTGTTGTTGGAGAGCGAGTATCTGTCTTTGCTGTTGGGCTATAAGGTTCTGCTGGTGTTGCTGCTGGGCGTGGTTCTGTTGCGAAGCTAACCTCTGCATATCTGACTGGATATCGTGTAGACTAGTATTCATTCTAAAATAATAATGATCAATATGCAGTTTATTCCTATAAGATCAGCAAAGGATCAAAAAATTTCATTAGTAGTGCTTTTATTTAAAGATACGCACAATTGACATGAACAAAAATGTAAATGTTCATATATCACATTAAAGAACTGATAATTAGGAATACATGAAGAATGCTCGACCATTATATCACGTGTAAAAAAGAAAGAAAATTTAGACTCACTGAGCAATGGATCTTTGGTACTGTTCCAAATCCATGTTGTCCATGTCTGGTGTCTTTCTCGTCTCGACATACGGATGGCCATCATTTGGCCAAATCCCCTCGACATTATTGATGTCATCAATTTCCTGAAAAAGTTAGAAAATAAACTAAAATTGAAGTGCAGCACAAAAAGGCAGATTTGAAGAACTTTGATCAGTTCACTTAGTAAACAAGTGAATTTGAATACAGAGTTGAATATTATTCGTTATAATACAAAATAAATATTCACTAATATCAATTGATACTTTCAATGTAATTATATTAATGTAAAAGTAAAGTTGAATGAAGTTGCTACCTATCGCTATAAACCAAATTTTCAATAATTTTTTCGTACAACTTTATTACATTCAACGGGAACTTACATGAACCTCCTTAAAAGAATTCAAATGATATAATCAACAGATTTTTAGAAGTGACAAATAACAGATTTTGAAAATGACTCCTAGTGATTGATATCTGTTTTTTTTTCATGCAGAATCTCAAAACGTCAAATTCGATAATTTTTACTTATTCATGAATAAATTAGAGCCTGCAGAGCCTTAGGAGAAATCATGCAATCAATTCAACCTCCCTATAAAATACAAGATATATCATCCACATGATCCTCTTACCCATTTCTAGAAGCTCAATGATAAAGAACTCTGTAATATACAATGCCGAACAAAATGTTCAATCACTTGCCAATAGATGTTCGTTCCTTATCTACATATACTAAACTTGGGAATGTCCTAAAGGAGCTACTTTTGGACTATGCATTTTATACATTGGGGGAATTTCACGAAGAAATATTTCAAGATCTGAATTCATTTTTTAACTGAGAATTGCTGTTTTTATCCATTTCATATAGTTAAGTTTGTACCACTATTCTATTCTATGATACTTGTATTTTGTTTTATATTACATCTACAATGACTTTGTCAATAAGACTTGTTTCTTCTGACACCAAAGCATATTGCTTGATTGATTGGTATTGCGTTTTCCTTCCATCTTTTTCATGATACTCATTTCAACAATCGTGAAATATGACGTGCTGTAAATGTTCCTTCATTGCTTTCCTGCAGCTAAAGTTTCCATTGTACAGTCCTATTTTGTTCAGGTGTCCTCTCAATGGACAGTGCCCACTGTGTACCCCTTTGCTTGTTCTGAGCCGATTCCTGCATTGTCAAAGAAGTTTTTCAGTTCTCTTCTCGGACAGTCTCTTTATAAACGTTTTCCCATGCGTGTTCCTAGGTATGTTTTGCCAGTACTCTTTATCTATTCTATAGACCCACTTCCCAATTTGCTTCCTTATTACAGATTTTAGTACCATTGTAGCTGATTCAGGACTTATATATGAAGTTCATGATACAGTAACGTTCTCAAATATACACTAATCAATTTATATTTCTGATTTGCCTGTATACAAAATTGATGGTTGATTGACCTTGAAGGATTGTTGAAAGTCTATTTTTCTGAAATGCAGTGTGAAATTTTCACATCTAAATACACAAGTATTTAGAATTCTTTCAAAGTCAGTATTTTTGAACACAGAAAATGGCGTATTCAATATTTGATTGTTTCTTTGGGCAATAAAGCAAATTATTATTATTGTTATTATTAATATGATTATTAACAAAACTCGCCGGGGGAAAAATTAGGTAATTTGAGGTTTAAAAGATATCACATGAAAAAATATAAGTTGGCACCACGAGAGATCTCCCCATTACTTCAGATTAGTCAAACGAGAATTGTTATTTGTGAATAGAAACAATCATGTTTAATCTTGGCTATAAAAAATCCATTCCGACAGTTCATTCTGCTAATTTTGTACACCTGTAGAAAAACTTTATTTGAACTACATGGGATTTGTAGATCTGGCAGCAAAGGATTTGTACTGACTTTAGCTGACTACAGTCATATCCAATTGCGTTGCTTTTTAGCAGAATAACCCTGCAGGTTCATAAAAAAAAATGTTCAGATGTCCCCTGTTTGCAATAGAATGTTACAACTGCTTTGATATCAAATATCTGGTCACAAAACATATTCAGTCTGAAAAGGTTCAGACTGAAAAAAAAGGAAGCTTCAGAAATTTCAATGAGTCCTGATACCTTTAATGCAGTGTTTCTCAAAGTGTGCGCCGCGGCGCCCTGAGGCGCCGTGGAACCTTTACTGGGGTGCCGTGGGCCACGGGTGAGTCTCAAGGTACAACGTTTCACAACATAGATAACTGAGAGTAAAGGTAATACGTCGGTACCTATTGAAATCCTCTGCTAATATGATNACGGCTTGAAAATATACAACTACCTTCCAGCAAGAATTAGGGAAATCAAGAATTATAATAGATTCAGAGGTAGTGTGAAGGTTTTACTCTTTGATCATCCCTTCTATAGCTTGGATGAATTTTTTATAGCCAAATTATCTGAATGAACTCATTATCCATATCTGTCATTGCTGAGGCTCAATTATGTGAATATGTATGTATGGATGGGTGTATATATATATGTACCATTATTTACTCTAATTTGATCAGATCCTGTGTTTATTTGTGTTTATACATCTGTAAGTGTTATTTTAACTATATTTTAACATACATCCATGTACGACAACTGACTTTGTCAACAAGACATGTATTCTTTCGACAATAAAGCATATTCTGATTACGGTTAATCAGTGAAAATATAAAATAAATAATTGATTAATGATATGATGTATCAGATTTTACTTGAATTCAGGTACTAGATCTGCTGAAAAATTTTCAAAAGTAACCGAAATATAATACAAACACAAAATCCAAGACATAACTTTAAAATATTTGAAACACACCCAACACTAAAGCTACTTGGCAACGCTCTACTGATATAGGAAAGCAAAAATCATTCTCAAAAATTCGAAAAACAACCTGGAAAAACAAAATCAGAAATCGAAAGGAAATACCTTTAAGGTTACTGGCCTCTGGGATTTTGGTGTGGGAGCAGATTCGGTTGAGGGGCTTTGTGTTTCAGAGCCCTCAGCAGAGTTAGGATTAGACTCTGTGTCGGTTGGCGTTTTAAGTAAATTACCTCTTCCCTGAAAGTTAGTTAAGTAAATAAAACTATCACCGTCACCAGTGCATTCCAAGAAATAGTTCGTAAAGGTAGATGTTCATTTAGAATTGTGCTTTTTGGATGTGGCGTGACATACATATTAGTGTGCTGTTTTGAATTAATTTTCAATTGTAATCAGAGAGGAATATTTGGAAACATGCAAATGGAAAAATCCAAAAACAAAACCATGAGCACAATAATTAAGAACCATTAAATAGATTATCCATAATGCATACAAAGATTCCCAGCTAGTTTTTTGAATTAAATTTCATTGGGGAATTTCATATTGAACATTGAATAGGTAAGTTGCATATTCCACGTTTTTAGCGCAGATGCAAATAAAATATTTACACTTATCACTGCATAGACATGTTAAGTTGTATCTGCCAAACAAAATTATATATACTGTAATATCCTTTCTTCTAATACCTTCAAATTTTACATCACTTTCATAAAATTTTAATCCGATTCTGACAAGAAATGTATTGTTCTCTCAACTGGATATTATTAGAAAAATAAATAACCTAGATTTGCTGAAAAAAGTAGTTCCCTGTCACCATTACAACTAGCTGAGAATCTTGATTTGCCAAACCATAAAAAACAGGCATCATAAAAAGTAAAAACCGTTCTCATTATCGAAACTAGCAACACCCTTACCAATTCAGTCAGCTGTAAGAAACATCCATTATTACACATGACAATAAGAAAAATAAAAATAGGAGAGAAACAAAAAAAAACACGATGAGAAACAAAAAAAGACAATGAAAGCATCAATGCATGATAACACCAAATGGTACATTGACTAGGTACATAAACACGTAATAATATTGAATAAAAAATACCTTAACGACAGCTTGTAGAAAAGCAGCTTTTCCAACTTTCTGCCTCTGCTTGTTCATCGCCATTTCCATTCGCCGCTTTTCGCTTTCTATGTGTCTTCGTTTCTCTTCAAGTTTCATTCGAATATCTGTTAGCTGTACATTCATAACATTACTAGGAGAAATAGTTTCATCAGCATTATTTTCTCCACTTTGTTGATTCTGCGTACTTTGTTGTTGCCAAGTGGTTGTATTTGGCAGTGTTGCAAATGTTGTTTTCTTTTCGTTGCTGTTGGCGTTGCCTATGTATGAACCAGATTGTTAAAATTTAGTGATTTCAAATCTAATTTTGATCAGAATCATATTGAATAATAGTATATAAGACAAGTTTTTAAGATAAGTCTTCAAAAACTCTAACTGCTCTAAGATTCAAAAATCAAGTTTCTTTATGGATATTGAAAAAAAAGCATCAATTATGTGACTGTTTCTAGAGGAAACGGTAGGGATAACATCTGTAAGATGTATTAAAAATTTCTCATTTCAGCAATCTCTTGTGAAAATTGAATCTGAAACGGCTTTCATAAAACGTTATTTGGTTATTACAAAAACGACTCACCTAATTTATTATAAAAACTAGATTTCGAAGGATATTCCTCCTTATCATTCATATAAACGAGTTGGATGGCCTTGCTTTCCCCTTGAACTTTCTGCTTTCCCAAATCGGCGAAACTCAACTTCTTAGTCACTTCACCGTCTACCAGGTCTTTCATTATGATGTTCTCTCTGTCCGCACCGAGATTAGCACCGATTTTTCTGAAGGCGATGTCATCGCTGCTAAGCTGCCGTTTGAGCTTAAATTTTTCAGTACCATTGTCTTGCTTTTCTTCATAGCCATTATCGTAGCCCAACTGGAAAGAACCTCTGGCGTCTTGATAGGTCGATCTCGTAGGGGCATTTTCTATGGGTGTAGGAAAAGAGGGAGCGGAAATTTTTCGACCAATATGAACAGCGACCTGAAAGAAAGAACAGTGACAATGTTATTATTTGAGATCAATGTCTCAACAGAAGTAAAAGAAAATATGGTTAAAAATATACTGGAAATATACATATCAAAAGAAATGGATGAGAAAAAATCAAAGATATATTCTGCATTCAAAAGATTTTCTTCCTTTACAAACATCAATTATTGTTAATCTTTTACAACTATTACTTCGTACTGGAAGTTGAGAGAAATAATCTCAGCTGAATGCATCGATATAAAAAAATATGAATTCTCGAATTGATTAAATTTTTTACCTGAATAACAAAAAATTTCAGCAAGAATATTTGTTTGGAAGTGAAATGTTCAAATATATGATTAGAGTAAGTATGTTAATGACTAAAGTCGTATTTGTTAACAAAAGCCGACTTACTTGACGCGGATAGATGCATCACCAATATGTCGCGTACCATTGAGTTTCCATTTATATTCAAAATGTCTTATTATTCGATTATGATATTAAGATTTCTGATATCAAAGGTGCGTTGGTTTTCAAAGAGGAGTTTGGATTGAAGGATTGCTGTCATAATTTCATGAATTTATGTGAATTGGTGAAGTATGGCAATTCATTTTTCATTTCGGCTTCTTGTGAATACAATGAACAAATTTGATCGTTGTATTGGTAAGTTTCATTTCATTAACATTTTCATTTGAGTTGTCTCCGTAGTGTTCGGTTCTAATCACTGTCATCAGGCCGTAGGTGCCACTGGTGATGACTTCGACAATTGCGGAACCAGCCAAATGTTACCCCCATGCTCAATCCCTAAAGAAATGGGATGGAATCAAAGGATGCAATCTTGCCAGAATCACCCTGGGCGACCCAAGAAAAATATACGCTTAACAGTAGGATTTCTGACTGGCCACTGTCAACAAAGGAAACACCTCCATAGTATGGGGCTAGTGGACACACCTCTATGCAGGATGTGTGAACAGGAAGATGAGATTGTCAGGCATGTCCTATGCGAGTGTCTGGAGTTATCGTACCATGGGTCACCTGTGGCCTAAGTCCTGTGGGCCTACACTCACCTTCCCTACTCTACAAAGACAGATAGTCACTGTCATAATTATAATATCAAATAAAACCTGTGAATTTCTGTAGAAGCATTCATGTAAAATTTCAATATTTAGTCACAATAACATTTAATATTTGATTCCATTGGTTCACTTTGATTAGGGCAGTGGCACCGATTGGAATTGTGAGAATGGTGCATTACGAGGCTACGAGAGTCATATATGATTCAAGAATAATTTCACCTAGATGTTAATTTCATGGCTGTTACTTTTATCGTTGTTAGACAGAAGCTTTTTATTCCTGTGAAACTGTGTTTCGGTGGCCTAGTCTTCAAATTATGCACCATTTTATTGGTTTGAAGGAATCAATCTGTGATAAAAGTCTTCTTACCTCCTTATCCGGATTCCTGCCGATGAAATTCAAATTGTCTTGACTACCTCCGAAATTTTCAATCGTCAATTGCGAATCGTCAGAAGTAGAATTTCGTCTGCTTCTCCTTCCCGCATAAGTAGGCTTCCTCGTATCTTCCCAATTACTCGGCCTTCCCGCAGCAATTTCACCCCTTTCGTCGGCCTTGCTGTCGTTATTGTGCTTTTCTTTGCTGACCTTGATTACAATGAAAACGCTTACAGTTGTTTCTTATGTTTATATGTAATAGCACAATTCTACAGTGGTTCAGATCATATACAACTTATTGAAGTGGAGACATCAAATTGAAGGAATTTTACAATGAAACCATTATCAATCCTACAAAATGGAAGGGAGGAAAGATTGAAGCGTCATCAACAGGTGAGCTGTTTACATGAGCAAGTAGATAAATATCCACATTTATTGTCATTGGGTCTTTGAGTTATGGGTCCTTTTCGAATAGAAATTTCAACAAAAATATACTTCAATTTATTTTTATTCCCAATAGTTCAGCATACCGACGGAAATGGAAGAAATATAATAGATACTGTTCTAATGGTGTGCACGATATGAAAAAAATGATATGTATTCTATAGAACAGAAAGACCCTCACAGTTTATGCAGACACATTGTAAACAATCAAAAAGAAATTCAATAAGGTTTCAGAGATATTTCACCATTATTTCGATATTATATAATTGGCGAGCGAAATATTGAACACAAATACTCTTTCATGTACTAGGGTTAGTTTTATGAACTATATGAGGTAATTGGAAACTTGTAGATGAAATAATTGATAAAAAGAGCCAAAAATGTGAGTAAATGAAAGTATTTGACTAATATAAAGTGATTAAACTTATTATTTTTATTTTGCAACCAATGCTTTTTTACTTTGTAAAAACACTTGAACGCAGTTTTAAAGCAAAATGTACACAAATGTGTTTTTCATCAGGAAAATTCTTCATAAATGAATAATCATAAAAAATAAAATGTATACCTATCGATTCATTTTTTTGTACATAAAAAAATTAATGTGTTGAAACCATCTCAACATTTCAATGTGAATGTTTGATTCAATCCAAAAATTCGAACATTTTGTGTGATATTTTGAAGATATTAGGACTGAATGTCGAAAACTAAAACTTTAAGATGAGTTTTTGACTTTATATTTATCATTGAATGCATTCAATAAACAAATACTTAACTCTTTTGTACAGTTAAGTGTGATCTTGTACTTAAGATAAGAAATGTGGTAAATATGTATATAACCACTTTATTGTGCTAAAAACAAAAAAACCCTTGCAATAGTAACAAAATGACACCTCAAACTATTTCGTAATTTTCATTGCATATTGGGGCGCTCTGAAGCCTAAGGCATTGATTGAGAAATTATATTCCATTCTATTAACACCTTCTTCACTTTCACATTTTCTTTTTCATAACAAATAATGCCTCGGGCATGATCACTAAAACTACCAGATGGGCGTCTAATGAAAATTCCAATACAATGCAGAGAAGATAAATTAGAAAGAAACGTGCATATTAGTATACAATAAATAATGAGAATGATTTAAAAATATTTTATACATGCAAGTGGCAAACTAAAACTAATAAGCTGAAACTCGTTGAAATCATTCAAGTGCAGTTATACACAATGTTAGTATTTCAATGATTAAAAAAATCTCAACTGAAAGCCACATGGCACCACTATTTTTAATATTTATGCTGAAAAACAATTATAAAATATAGTTGGATTTACTCAAGGCAAATTTGACTGGCGAGTATTTGTTATATATAATAATTCTTAGGGCCCTCCATCAAGTTTTCATCTAGGGAATAGGATTTTGAAAAGTTAAAAGTTATATATCTCACATCGATTTATCATTGAAATTTTTCCATTTTGTAAAACTGCCCAATTTTCATTAGCTGCGATTTGTTAATTTTATAGATTTCAGCACAAACGTCATCAACCCACTTCATACCTAACCAACAAACGAATACCATTGTAGAACCTCAAGTAATCCAAGTTTGAAAACTAATTCTGATAATAACTCATCAACATCTTCAATAAACCGACACAGAAGAATATTTGGGAAAATTTGAGTGTCGCTGTAATGTAGAGGAGTTCCATGTGACAAAATTGTGTCTCAGTTGCTACTAAAGGAGTCATGTTGAAGATGTGACAAAACAATTTAACTGCCATCTAAAAATCATGAGGGAGTAAGTGAGGGGTTGTTATAATGTGAAAAAATGACAACAGACGTGACTGATGTTTCTGAATGGAAATATTCATTACTACAAATCAAGGAAAGGTAATACAGTCAAGCAAATTTTGGCACTCATGAGGGCCAAATGTCCAAACAGCTGTTTGTCGATTGGCTTTTGAAAACAAGAAAAATTCATATCATCCGATATTCATTTCATTCTACTGTAAGTAGGACGATGAAGTTTAGGAAAACCTATGTGGGTAAGTTGAGAAATAGCAACAACTACTGAACAGACTTACCAATGTCATCCTCACATCTTGAGGGAAAAAATGACTATGAGGTATTAGGCCAGGAAAAAAACGAATCCTAAAGAAAGAAACCCAAACTTCACATGAATTTTATTAAACTCTGTGTCCCTGAAAAATGACGGTACTTCAAGAAATAAAACTATGACCAAGTTCTCCCCCCCACTCCACACTAAAACAAAGTTGTGAGTTTTTTCTGGGCAGAATTTTTCCAGAGTGGAAATCAGTATTGCCTTATGGATTTCTAGATATTTTATGAATTTTAAGGTTTTTTGGAATCATTTAATTAGTAAGTTAGATTTTTTCAATTCATATACTGAATTTTTGAATATATTCCATTTTAAATGGCTAAATACAGGGTGTAACTGAATAAGTGTAGAACATTTAAAGAGGTGATTCCTCATCGAAAAAAAGATAGGATGTTTTATATAAAGAAACTTCATTGGAGCATCCCTTGTTAAGATACGGTCCCTTAAAGGTACATTAAATTTGTATAACAATTTTTTTCACAAGCACTGAAAAAATTACAATATTGAAATTAACCTGATGTTCTGTACTACCAAAAAGACACTTAGCCAGTAATTTATTTGGTTTACCCCATGGTTCTTAATCTCTACAGTGAATCACTGNCGTCAGGTTAATTTCAATATTGTAACTTTTTTAGTGCTTGTGAAAAAAATTGTTATACAAATTTTATGTATCCCCTTTAAGGGGCTGTATCTTAACAAGGAATGCTCCAATGAAATTTCTTTATATGAAATATCCTATCTTTTTTTCGATATTTATTTTCAAATGAAAAACAATATGATTTGAGAAGTAGGAAAAATATCTTCAATTTCCAGTTTCCTGATTGGGTAGCACAGGGAACGTTCTTTAGTCCAAAAGACATTCATACTGAACCAAAACCACTTATAACCAGCCGATCCAACAAAACTAACAAAACGCAGCCGATTTCGACGAGTCATTCCGTGTTGTTAGGTGCATTTTGGGATGATCGATATGAAAAACGTTTATTAATAGAGTGATCATTCTAGCTACCGATGATATCGCAAAGTAGTAGATAGAGATTACCTTGGAAAGCGGAAGGATCTGCGGGGTCATCGATACCGCTTCGCAGATCCGGAATGGGAGCCATCACGGTCTGGAGCAGGTTACGTTTATGCATCACCCCGTGCGCATTGCTCGAGGGCAACCCGTCTACGGCCGCATCGGTACAGAAGCAATTCAATTGTTAACTCAAGTACTTATATTACATTCGAATGGTCTACTTCTAAGTACTACTTTGAATAGTCAATTTTGTCAAAATATGTATTACTATTAGCAACAACGACTTGGGAAAGTGGATGAGAGTTTTTGACAGTTTATTTTACACATTTCTATTATTATATTAGGTTGTATCAAAAGTTTTGTCCATTTTTGAGTAATATCTCATTGAATGCTTATTCAATTTAATCGATAAAGGCGCCTTTTGAATCAGTAACACGTAACAAGTCGATTGATTCCGTCCGCATAAAAACTGTGGGCTCGGGATTCGATGAAACCGACGGAGGCCGTTTTTACCTGGTCCTGTTTGTCGAATGTTAAAGAAAGTAGTCGTTTAGCGTGAGGTCTGGAGAGTATGGTGGATAAGGCAGAACTTCGACGCTCAATTCGTTCAATTTTCGGACGAGCCGTACAATTTCCTCACAATATGACTCCGTTGTGATGGTTTGGCCTGGTTGCAGAAAGTTATAGGGCATCGCACCAGCCGCTGACCACCATACAGTAACTAAAATCTTTTTTTTGTCGGTGCCAGTGCCTGGGTGGCTCATCGTCTCCTTTTATCGTAGAGGATCCACTTTTCATCACACGTGATGATCCAATCCAGAAAAGAATCGTTTTGGTTGTGCAAAAGCAAAGGAGAACCGACCTCGAAACGTGACAGTTTCTGTCGATCGTTCAATTCGTGGGACACCCATTTTTCGAGCCGTTAGACCTTTCCAATATGTTTTATACCATCAAAAACCGCATGGGAGCTGACGCCCAATTCTTCTGCCATCTCACGCACCATCTCCACCTGGGTCTCACAGTCTCGTCCTGGATTACTGTAGCTCGACCACTTTGAGGCTCATCTTCGAGGCTTACATCCGGAATGAAATTCCGGAAACCAACGTCGTTCATCTATACTATCATTGCCAAATGGCTGATTAATTTTTGGTGCTGTTTCGTCAACGCTTTGGTGCAATTTGAATTCGTAGAGAAAAATTGGCCGAAAATTGCTAAACAACATATAATAATAAGCTAAAGAGTCAAAAAATTGAAACTTGTAAAAAATTAACTCAATGTATGGAATAAAAATTTCTCTATCGATCAGTATTCACCACGACACAGTAGAATAAATATTTATCAAGATATGGAGCTACAAAAACATATAACATCAAAACGGACAAAACTTTCCAAACAGCCTAATATTTCACCAATTCAATTTTAGGACTTTCATCCCAGGTGTTCCTCAGGGACGGGTTCCAAGTCCGATTCCCTTTTGTATTTTACATAAATGACTAGGCATGTAACGGCTACTTTTATGATATTTGTGGGCAACTGTAGCAATATGGGGCACAATAAAACTAGTATCCTCACTTTTCGAAGTACTTTACATTTGACTGTGAGAGACATAACTTATATGTTATGTGTAGACGAGGTCACCCAGGTGGGGGTATCTGTACATATAAAATATATTCAAGTTTTATATTTTTATTGTCAAGATGTATTTATATACTCCCTGTACTATGCTTTTTCGAAGAGAATAAAACCCATTCGATATAATTGTTTAGAAAATCTTGAGATCGACTATTTTAAAGATTTTTTTAGCACTTTCATTAGTTTTGAATCCTCCTGCATGAGCAGTTACTTTATCTTTGACTGGGAAATTGTTTTACAAACAACTTTCTGTTCTGCACGGAATATTTTCAATATCGAGGAAGAAAGCATTCCTTTCGTCCTTCCTTTCGCATTCCTCGTCTTCATTTTGACTTGTCATATTCAGCACATCTGAAAACACCGACTGGTTATCCTGCTCTGACTCAATCATCTGCAGATTGTAGCCATAACTCTAAACCAGAGTTGTGATCTACACATCTACGTATAGAGTTACTTCTTTAAAAATGTATTGCTTCCTTCCTTTCTTCGGTCGGTCGGTAGCCAAGCGGTTTGGCGTGGGTGCTTTGTTCACTCACTCGAATTGACTGCCGTGTTGGTCTGTGGTTCAAGCCCTAGTCTGAACGATCGATCTTCACTTGCTATCGTCCAACCCGAGTTAGGGATCATACGTTAAAAGGTAAGACCTCGTTAATCCTTAGCTCGCACAAGTTTCGACTTCTGAAGGTTGTCGTTCGTAGGGATGCGACAGCTGGTTAACGGAAAAACAGATATTTTTTTCCTTTGGAAGATTCCCACATTTTTTTGTATCAAGATGGAGTAGTGGAAAGCCAAAAACTTTCTTTCCCAAAAATGAATCACTCCTGAAAATATAACCCTTTCAATTTATCTAATCAGTGTGTTACAACAGAACGACGATTATCGGTGTATGTTGTTGACACTACTCGTAATCTTATTCCAGACTAACTATTTCGTCCGTTATCCTTGCATATCGAGTCTCCAAAATAACTTTTGACGGGAGAGATTGTAGACACCGCGTAACTATAGAAACTTTTGAGTGTCAATATTTTCTTCGTGTTCCCGTTTCCACTTTAATATCCATAGATAAAATCTGGTAACCAATGTGAAAGCAGGATCGCCGAATAAATGGGAATGCATTTGACTTCACATTGAGAAGATCTTACTCTGTTTATTCGGATTTTTTGCATAAAAATGACTCACTCATAAAGCTTCATGGGATCCGCAGAAAGTAGGTCTTTTAGGTCAGTCATTATGATTTCTAGAAGTGAAATGAAAACGTCTCTGAAAATATAATTCATCATTTTTTTATAATTATCGCGAAGGGTCTGTGCCAAGTAGCAGACAAGGACTGGATAACCAGTTGAATTATTTTGAATACCTATTCATTTATTTAATTGTCCAGAATATTTGAGCAGGAATATCGGTAAATTTTTTTGTTTTGTCAATATGAATGGATTATTTTGGAGGGATCATCCTTTGACCCCCTCCAACCGTGCCTGCTTCCCGTAATAATTTTCATTGTTTCAGAAAGTAAACAATAACAAACACTTCTTTCGGAATAGCCAAAAAATAAATATTGCACCACCTAATTTAACCAAAATCTTTAGTCTTCAACAAATTCCCAAGCAGAGTTGTTGCTATTATATCATCATGAAGTCACTGATATCGAAAAAACTATTCATAGCACTTCATATCAAGATCCATGCTGCCTAAAGAGTGTTTCTTACCAATATAATAATAATACCACCACCACCACATAGCGTTTGTGTGTCGCTCACCAGTAAGCAAAAGAAAATACTAACAAGCAAACAAAAAATAAAACAAAAATGGAAAAAAACAAGCCGAGGAAGTTAAAATGTGATCGCGCCACCCGTCAAAGGGTTGCGACACCACAACTTCTATAAGAAAGCACCGTAAGATTGCGGGCCGAACCGTACACCACTTATGCAAATCATAAATTCAATAAATGACCAGAGAAAGATAACGTTATGGCAAAGGTCACCCCAGGTTGTCGCCGATCGATACTTTTCCACTAAAGTTATCCAGGTTACGGGTTATCAAGAATTCCAAATCACCATTATTTTATTTATCTACATAAATATGTACAGAAACGAAAACACGTTAAATACCGAGGAAATTTTACTATTATTACTTATTTCTATCATATCTTCATCAACTATTCAAAATTTCAGAATTCGACTTTTTATTATAACTCAGCAGTAGTTCACTTAATATTCCACAACAGGAATAAGTCATCGCAAGTCTAATACGAAACTTCTTTTTATTAGTGTATATTGAACATCAAATAACTCTCATCTGAGCTGACGAATATTCCATTATATATTCCATTTGAGTGTCATTTTTTTATATCCTTTGATTTTCTTCAACTTATTCAGACGTACAAATGCTGTGAGATCTATTTGTCTGAACTATCGGGGAAGAACAAAGTCAACTGAAAAAATAAGCCTATTTGAAAAAGTGAAGTGAATTCAAAACATTTCCTGTATCAAAAATTACTGGAGTTTTATCCCAACACCAAACCGTTATTTTAACACCTTGACACGTGTCAAGGTGTTTCAAGGTGTCTTCAAGAGGAAGATTAAACCCGTTGAATCTTCAAGAGGAAGATTCGACCACTTAAAGATGATCACTTGGTGATCGAATCTTGAAGATTAAACGGGTTTTATCTTCCCCTTGAAGATGATCACTTGGTGATCGAAACACGTGTCGAGGTGTTAAAATAACACCAAACCGTTATTTCAACACCTCGACACGTCTTTCGATCATCATGTGATCATCTTACTCTTGAAGATGATCACTTGGTGATCGGAACACGTGTTGAGGTGTTAAAACAGTTTGGTGTTGGGATAAAACTCCAGTAATATTCATTACTACACCTAAGGTACCAAACAGTGCATCAACTTCATTTCTACCGAGGAAGCTACTACGTTAGCGAAACGCGTCTACAAATAGAAATGTTTGTGAAAATTATGTTACTATTATCATGTATAACTTCATAGTTATTCTTTCCTCGACAATGGTATATGCTGGACTTTTTGATTATGAACTGTTAACACAACGTACTGATTCAATTTTTCCACCTCTTATAACGTTGGCAATCAGAGCAGAGCTTGGAATGCCAAAAAAGTCCACACTGAAGTCACATCAAGCTTGTTTTCATAAGTTACTCAAACCAAAGCATTCATCTTCATGTTTATATATTTTTCCCATTAAAACGCATCTAGGTAAATATAATTTTGTTGTCCATAATTTACCTGTCTTCTTTGTCGAACTCTGCTCTGTTGTTCAGTTCAGGTCTTTTATGTGGAGTTGATGATCCATGTCCAGTACACTCATCAACCTTTCTCTTTGTTTATGATTAATGAATGTCCCAGCTCCCGAGGTAGAATTAATTAATTTCTGTCCGACAATTTCTTCAGTTCTTGATGCCTCCATTATTAAAAGATGTAAAGGGGGTGCTTCCCGAGCAAGCATCGTGTCTAGTTTCTCAATGGCATCTTTGGTCATAGAACCAAAGAAGGATAAGTTATCGTGGATTTAACAACCATTGAATGTAGCCATGTCCATATCTTCCTGTAAGTCTGACGAACATCAATGCCACCTCCGTCTTTATTTTGATCCTTTCTGCCTTACTCTTCACCTCGCAGATACAGAGGTGGAATACCGAAGTAAGTCGGCTATTATAATTTCTTTCTATTATATCTTCATCAACAGAATATCAGAATTCTACTTTTTGTTATAACTTACATGTACGAGTATCTACCACTACCAACAAGTTTAATATGGAACTTCTTTTTGGCTATCAAACTAAAGAAGGATTTAACCACCATTGAGTACGGCCAGTATACCATGTCTGGTTTCAACCCTCATGTGTTTTTATAGGTGTCCGTCAAATAATTTTTCTTATATTGTGGTCTTAAGGCCTTCATTGATGATTTTTCCAGAACCCTTGATGAAGATGGTCGATGGTCCCACTCAGTCTTCATGTTTTAGGTATGTAGCAGAGTGACAAACTTGATTTAATGATTTCACAAAGTTTTTACAATCCCGTAGGTAGTCTCGTATCTTCATGTTATAAATGTGGAGGTTATAGAAAAAATGTAGGATTTTATGATAAAATTACTTACACTTTTGTAATTTTCGTTTCTGTCATATGCTCATAGAGAAATACAATTTCTGAAATTTAAGATTTATTTTATTTATTTAACATATGGCTACATCACAGGTAAGTATGTAACGAAAGTAACATTCTCATTTCACATTTTCTCACATTTCACAAACAAACACTGTTACGAATATATTGTTACGTTTTTCCCCGTGGATTGATCAATAATTGACTACACTGAATAATCAAACCTAACTTTATTTCAATTTAATTACAACAAACACTTCAACTAAAACTTCAACTATTATTTGAATGTCTATCGCCTTACTAGATCACTTCGCGTACCGCACTGTAACGGCCACTTCACTTTGTACTTGACTGAATGTCTATCGCCTTACTTGATCACTTCGCGTATTGCACTGTATCTTCCACTTGACTGTCTCGATACGCTCGCAGCCAGCGTTTAAATACCGCAATCCAACATCGTAGAATTTTCGCCGAAGTTCCATCGACATCGGTAGCATGTTTTTTGCTGCTTCTCAAGCGGCAGGGAACATTAGCCATCCCCTCGCTCTCAGCTACGTCACGTTTGGTTTATGGTTACCAGTGGCGGTCGGCGTTATTTCTTTTCGGGCATGATTTACAACAATATTCAATTGTTTCTCTTGTCGGAATTCGGATGGATTGCTACGTTAGTAATTAATTGGATGGATCGCTACTTTAGTAATTAATTGGACAGTTCTCTATCAAGTGTTTAATAGTCTTGTCTTTCAGCGACGCAGTCACAATTTGAGGAAGGTATTTTGAGGTGGAAGGTTAGTTCGCCTCCACGTGGTGCACCTTGGGTAAGGCTAAATGAACTAACACAAGAGGCGCCAGACAATCTTCAGATTACCTTTTAGATCTCCTGGCAAGAGAATCACAGGCGCAAAAAAGGATGAAATTTAAAAACGTATCGAGTTGACTCAGGTTAACAATAATAGTTGCTAACCTAACACGTCGATGAGACTTAAAAACACATTACTGGATATTTCAAGGAATGTTCTAATAGTTTGTTACTTATACAAAATTGATGCGAATTAACTTTACACCATTGCCAAGACATCTACTACAAATTCAAAATAAGTCTATGATTTTACAAAAAAAATTCAAGTCGTTACCTATGAACCAACGAGTGGAAAATATCATCGTTTTATATTTATTGTTTTGGACGATATTTGTCTTACTTAGAGCCAAAAATTACATAACATATACTGTCCCATGTTTTGATAGTCACGAAGGGGAAGAAACTTTGGAAAAAATTCTGAATTTCACTACATAACGTTTTGAAACACCATTATGCCATTTTTAATTCTAGAATTAACAAAATCGGATCAAATTCTCCGTAAATTTTTTAATAAAAACGTTTCCCATTTGGTAGGTATAGCGAATATATGTCTGGAGAATATTCAATTAATTTACCTGGGGTAGGTGACAAATACTCTATTCAACTATATAAAAATACAATTGAAATGTATGACGTTCCATCTTTTGAAAATGAAATTCAAAACGATTTCGAAATTTCGATTAAATATGGTACACTCCAAGAACATCCATATCCGACATCCGTAACATGATTTTATTTGTGAAATATAAAATAAACAAAAATGAGTCGAATACAAAACAGTTCTTAGGAAAACTTTCTGTAAATGTCCTCGTATAAATTAAAGAAATGTCACTCTTTTACAACTAAAATGCACATTCAATAAATTTAATCATGGTTATGTCCAGGGACAAACATCATTTATGTACAACTAACCAAGGATGTCCCGAATTTATAAATCAAATATTTCTTGAAACAGTCTTTTCTCAGATAAAAAACGGTTGAGTAAATATTTTCCAACAATCATCTACGTTTTCGAAAGTACTTTAATTCGTTTTCCGAAACCCGTTGAGGCAATAAGAAAGTCACAACTGAAGCAAAACAAAAAAGACGGGACACACTGCATCAAAATAAAAATAACAAAGCTTCAGTAAACAGAAAAAAAAAACAAAAAAGCGCACAAAACACTGTAATTAACGATCGATGACTTACCGTTACTGAATTTATCCATTCCTGGATACCGCACACATTTGGCTGGGTTAATTTCTATGACGTTAAAAAGATCGGCGAGGAACACTATAAGATTTTGGGTCATAGAACTGAAAAAAATACAATGATGATTTGAACAAAATAGAAAAGGAATACAATTGAAAGTTAATTATTGAAATGACAAAATATATGAATACTTTCATTGAATCAAGATGTTTAGAAATGTCAATTTGCAAACAAAAACCCGGGTAAAGAAATGATGTCACTGCACACTTAAAAGCTAACCTGAACAGAGAGATAATAATATAAGCAATTTATAATCCTTATCAAATAAACTAGCGCCAGCTTTTCAAAGGCTACCTTAGTCATAACGGTCAATATTTACATTCAATTGAGAAGCACTTTGTTTATTGATAATTTCTCAATTCCGAGATGATTGCATCTGCTATGAATCAGCTTTTAGTGTTTCTATTTAGCAAAAGTGATACCGCCACTGCTCTTTCTTGATTTTTGTTGTCTGACGAAAGACCTTTGCATAAAAAATCATTATTTTTCACGTTGTTATAAAAGTGGGTAATTATATTGAGGATTAAAAACGAATCTAGCTTTAGGTAGAGCTCATTGTGAACAGTTTAGGTTTAGACGGTTGGCTGTCTAGTCTAGTGTTGTTATGCCTTCAAGTCATTGAAATTCTACAAACTTGTTAGGAAAACAGGGTCCATTGAACGAATTCTAAGTTTGCAGATATGTCTTACAGTTTGGAAAACGATTCTAAATGCGTCATCACTTTATCTATACGAAATTAGCAGACAAAGTAATGAAAACGACATGACGTGGCTCGAACAACATAACCTTTTAATGAAGAATTGTTTTCATTTTTGAAATTTTCTAAAAATTTTGTGATTTTGAGAGAATTTTATGAGAATCTGCCAGAACTTTTAATAATTTTCCTGTGAATACTTTTATATTTTATATCACATATCCATCTCCAATATCTCTCAATTTGAATATTAGAGTTAGCGGAATATTAGACAATGTTCCCCAGTTTGGTGTTCATATATCATGAAAAAAAAACTGGAACCTCTGGCGTAGAATAAATCCAAAATAAACACTTTTCCCAATCAACAGAAATACAATACTTTTCTCTACGCTCGTTTCAGCAACCAATCTGACATCTATAGTAAATTCCAACTTACTTTTGCAATAAAAAAAATCAGAATGAGTTAATATGTATTTTCATCAAGTATCGAACAATTTTATTCCCAATCATCGGATAGAAAACCAGGAAAAATTACTTTGAAACCGTAGTGAAATTTCACTCGTTTCAATTTATACCCCCGAAATCGATAAATACTCACCCTCGCATATACGTTACGTCTTCGGGCATCAGGTGGTAAATGGAAGTCGGCAAACACCTGGAGCAGAAATCGTGCAGCAACCTCAGATTGTAGAGGCTGTCCTGCACTGAAGGCACGCACGATATCCTGATCTCGGTCCAGTGCAGTTCGTCAGGGCAATAGTAGGAGATGAGAGCCGCCAGACCGACTCCATCGCACAAGTCACTAAAATTGAGGGGTTTTAGAATATAAATATGCACATGAACAGAAATAACACTGAATATCTGCAGAAAATATTAAATATATCGGAAATAACAACAGTGGGCCAAAACGAATACAAATGTATCATCAAATAGAAAGGCTACACCCTGGCTAATATCACGATGGCCATTGAATTATATTTGAGAGACATTTATGCAAGAGGACATGGCGGGTTGGTTGTCCTTGTTTATCTTTCACCGCCTGAACCACTGTGAATGCTGTTTTTGGCAAGTGCATTGGCTTGGGATGTGAGGGTTGAGCAAACCGGCCATCGGATGCCTACTTCCACGTAGCCCCGCTGAATACAGGAATGACAGAATCACTTGTGGTTCCGTTATTCCCTAATTGAATGGCATCCCAACGATGGATCAATCCTAAGGTTTGTGTATCCGTGCCGAGAAGATAAATGACACTGAGTCTATCAGCTGTCTCTACGGAACCTTCGAGATACCGGGCGCCCTCTCGTCGTAGCATCACCTTGTCACGGTTATGCGGGACTCTGCCATGATTGACCTTTTGTCCCTAGCTACTCGTGGGACTTTTATGGACAGAGTAAACTTAAAAATTCTTTCTGACGCCTTGTCTACGGAGGAGATGGATGTCGAGCTTAGGACTCCAACTGACCTCCCTGTAAATTTAGATCAGGACCGAGTCTACAGAGGAGATGGATCTCGAGGTACGACTCCAACTGACCTCCCTGTAAATTTAGATCAGGAGCGAGAGCTTCGCAACTCTCCAACTCCTAATCCAATAAATGAACCTATAAAAAAGGTTTGGTGGTGCAGCCAGGAAACGACTGAGTCGTCTCCTCAAAGGCGGGGTACCTTATGAAACCGCCTTTCACCAAATTCTTGAGCGGCGTACGCAGAATCTTTCTCAAGTGGAGGAACAATTTGAGCGCAAACGTTTACGCTCAAGTGATGATTCACCAAAACCAGAGGCGAAAAAGTCCTGCACGGTTGAATCTAAGGCATCGTCAGGTGTAGCTGACGTGCAAAAATCCTCATATGGGAAGGTTGTCGCGGGTATCAAGGTGGGAATCTTGCACCTTGACTATCCGACTACCTCATTAATGATGAAACAGCAGAGCATATACTTTGTGCCTGCCCCGCTGGAGAGCGAATCAGGTTTTTAGAGTTCGGCAGAGCCGTACTTTTACCATCTGACCTGAAAGACCACTCACCATACAAACCAATCGGCTTCGTTAAGAAGCTGGGTTTATTTGGTCGAATGTGAATAGGTGTGAGCCACAATAAACACTTGCGGGTTGCACTTTAGACCTAACCTAATGTAACTTAAGAGGATATACTCAGATGCTTCTCTGACCATTCAGCAGCAGGACCACGTTGAAATCAATCTAGTAGATTATCTACAGACTGGTTTCTTGGAATTATCCCTCGTCTGTGAAGGACAGTTCCAATCCATACAGCATTGTATGGATTGGACTCAAATAATTTATTCAAGGATCCACTGAATATACGATACCTTCGTCTGAGAAAGACTTATTATCTAGTGAATAATGTCACGAGTACAAGAACCTGCTGCTACACGAAGAAGCATCTTCAAGAAATTCTTCAGTGAGGAAACTTGCCTAAATGCCTGTCCGGCATAAGTCAATGTCCATCGTGATATTAGCCGGGGAAATAGTTATTTTCCCAAAGGCATTTGCCAGATTCTACTGTATAGGAACATTGAGAGAGGTGAAATATTTATTTGTGTCTCTTCTTGAGACAGTCATCGAAACTAATAATGTCCTTATGACAATTAACGAAAAGTAATGAAAATAATCCAACAGTTTATGAGACATAAAGATACAATAAATAACAATCAATTTAAACTAATAGTTTCCTTATAACAATCATTAAAAGTGGCTACCTCAAGTCATAATGAGTCTCTTCATTGAACGCGAATTCTTTCAAATATACAGGGGGAGATTTCTTCTTTGAAATCAAGCAAGTTTGAACTTGGTAGCTTCAGAAATATGAGAGGCATATAATTTAAAAAAAGGTTTTCCCCCGTTTACATCATAAATGAAGCTTTTCAGGACTGGGCAATTGTTTTCTTATCAAAATCATCCAATAACCTCCCTAAATACTTATATTCGTGAGAAACACCATGTACGTTAGAGAGCGCCATTCTTCCTCAACATTTTGGAAATTACGCCTGCAATTATTATTTCTTACCTCTCCTCCGTTCATGATGCCCTTGTCGTCTGTTTCCTGCTCTATTCTTTTCCTAAGAGCGTCGCAAGCGTGAGACACCCACAACAGCAACCCCTGTTCGTGGTTCTCGGGAACGGAAGGCGTAGGCGCCCTGCCGTGGTTGAACCTTTGCACCGTAGCCAGAATCCTCTCGGGCGTCACCACCTCTTTGGTATACAGAGACATTATCATTTCTATGACTGCCATGTGCGCGGCCTGCGAATATTCGCCAAATTATATTAGTCATATTTATTAACAATATCATTGCCATATTAGTTATGATGAATCACTATCACAAAGTAAAGAGATATAGAGGAACCAACGAAAGAGATGAATTCGTAGACCAGCTTGAAACCCACCACATACACTGAATGTCGGGATTGGTCTGACATGTTTACTTTCTATTATCAAAACTCCAAAAAGGAATATCTCAAACTGATAAAGTTACCAAATGAAAGGTCCAAGGATACAAAGGCCGCAATCAAAGGACATGGACAGACGTCTCAGCTGTTTGGTTCACTTGTGACTAATTTCACAGATATACAAAAGATAACAGTTTCAGGAGTTAGAAACTTCACAATGGACGGTATGAGGAAAAGAAAATAACACTGAGGAACAGGTGAAGTGGATATGAATAAAAATGAGCAGTTTCTTCTAAATCTAAGGAGTTCTTTGCAAAAATTAAAGGCTGCTCCGAACCTTTCTCGCAACTTTGTGGAATTGGCCGCGGTGGTAGTGCGCCCGACTCACGATCGGAAGACCGTGGGTTCGATTCCTGCCTCGACCAGATATTTTTCTAGAGAGAATTTATCTGGTTGAAGCTGGGATGATTCTGCAACCGTGTTAGGAATCACACGTTAAAAGGTAAGACCTCGTTAGTCCTTAGCTCGCACAAGTTTCTCAACTTCAGAGAGTTGTCGTTCGTATACGGGCGACAGCTGGTTAACGGAAAAAAAGATTTTAAACAGAACTTGCAAACTTGGCAGTAACTTCACAATGGGCGGTATGAATGAAAAGAAGGATTACTTTTTTTATTGTAAGCTATGAAGAAATACCTTCTCCTTAGATGGAAATGGAAATACAATTGAGGAAGAGGTAAGGTGGGTATCAATAAAAGCAAGCGGTTATCAGATCAATCGACTGCACCCCTGTGGGGTTTAAAAAGCCAAAATTGTTTGGAGATGAATACATTAATCGAAATGGAATGCTGTGCATGAAGGTGTAAAAGTTGTGTTACAGTAATTAACAGTATACATGTGAAGACTCTGGAATGACACATGAATTCAAAAAAGTTCTATTTTATGTGCGGTGTTTGTGAAAAGAAAAAATATAATTTCAATTGTGAATAGGAGTGAGGCATAGAGCCGTAGATGATGACATCACTATATGATTCGATTGACATCAACATCAAGGAAAACTATAAGATTCCCACTAATGAAGTCATCACTGAACAAGCCTTTCAGACAACTCAAAAGCCGTTTGCGATCTTGAATTATGTGTGCCGAGTAAAGTTCAGAATATTCCCTAGAGAATGCTGCCTTTTCAAACAACACAACTAGAGGTGCAAGAACAGGAATGAGCTAGATAATCCATCTAATGATCAAATGATCATATTTTACCAAACCAAAAACGAATATAAAGTAAGTCTTTCAGAAACTTTATGCATGCCCAAAAAAACACAGTACTGCAAGGAAAATATACAGTGCGTTCTAATGAAACGTTTGTACCTTGAATACTTGTCGTGTTTTTCTCTTCAATTGCCTTTTGTTAGATATTAAACATTCTCAAGGTCATATTTTGAAAGTCACCAAAAATAAAACAATATTATACTCTTATGAAAGCTCATGTGTACTCATATAACATGTATCCTTGATATTCATTTATATTTCATCAATTTTATTTCAAATGTTCATTCATGATTCAATGAAAATGTGGATAAATGTGAAATGATAGGTAGGTAGGTGGTCCCAGAAGTAACCGGTCTGACCTAGAGATGGCGGTAGTTGTTTGAAAAAGATCACTGTATTAGAAATTACAGAATCTATAAAGTATATGTTTCAAGTATGAAGACGCTGCGTTGTTTGGTATTTGTGTGGCAGCGATCGGTAGCGAATGTTTTCGGTGAAGTTGTGAACATGGAGAAAATTGGTCATCGTTATGTGGTACAACACTTTTATTTGAAACGCCTCAGCCTAACCAATACAAAAGCTGAATGGATTCTACTCTAGTTGAGTCTGCTCCTTCATTTACAACAGTAAAATATTGGGTAGCAGAGTTTAAACAAGGCCAAGACGATCATCGCAGTGGTAGACCAAATGAAACAGTGAAGAAAATCTACAAATCAGTACTGAATGAACGTCGACTGAAAGTACGCGAGCTAGCAGACTTAGCAGGCATTTTAAAAAGTGCGGTACATCGTATATTATTTGAAAATTTGGACATGAGAAAGCTGTGTGCAAGATGGGTGTGGCGTTTGCTCACACTCGAGCAAAAACAGTGTCGTGAAATGTTTCTATTGACAATTTAGCAAAATTTTACAGCAACAAAGCAGAATTCTTGCGTCATTTCATAACCATGGATGAAACATGGGTCCATCACTTCACATCCGAGATAAAAGAACAATCAAAACAGTGGACTCAAAAGGGAGAACATGCTCTAAAGAAAGCAAAGGCCGTTTCATCTGCAGGCAAGGTCATGGCACCGGTTTCTTGTGATGCACTTGGGAAAATTATCATCAATTATCTTTAAAAAGCTAAAATTATCGACGGATAGTATTACGCGAACTTATTGCAACGTTTGAGTGAAGAAATCAAGCAAAAATGGACACATATGGCTAAGAAAAAAGTGTTGTTTCATCAAGAGAATGCACCAGCTCACGAATCCATTATCGCAATGACCAAAATAAACCAATTAAAGTTTGAATTGAGACACATTTTAATACAAATGTGAATAACAAAACACATGAATTCCCTTTCCTTGACAAGTATCCCCCCAAAAAAATTCAAATGGATACCATTATTATGATAAAGATTTATGTTTTGAAAATACTCTTGGCTATAAAAATGTATTATCAATAATTGAACGAATTGTGAAGGTAATTACTAATACACTTGAAATTGGCGAACAGATAGCAAACAAATCCATTTTCAGAAAATATGCTGACACGAAAAAATGAATTTTCAAAATGAACAGAGTGCCACATTCAATATCAATGAAATGAAGTTCCGCCTTTTTTCCTTGATGTTTGATTTGCAGCTTCTGCTTCTTCGCTTTTACGAATTAATTTCTCTTTAATTCTACTCGTTTTCTCTAACCTCTGTTCTGCGCTCGAAACGAAGACAGCTGTCTTAGTACTAGTAAAGTGAACCAGCAATAAATACAATGGAATGTTATATATTTAGCTTCTATTTTGCAATGGCTAGCTTCCTTTTCTAGAGTGGCAAAAATGCCAAAATTATATCCCGTATCGTTCGTGGTTCTACATGATCCTAGAAGAAATGGTAAATGCTTCGACCTGATAATGTAAGACACGCCCGACCTTGATTACAAAATTTAATGTTAGCAGTTACAAAATAGCACACTAATAGAAAATAAGTAATTTTTTATTCATACCATTCGAAGAGGATTCGTCTGTATCAGGGTGGTTTCTGTGAGCTGAACGTCTGACGGTTCATTCACCCCTTTCCTCGCTAACGTCTGTAAAATGGCCCAGTGATTGAGGTTATGGTAGTTAGGATCCGAGTATATGTTGCCGAGAGCCAAGCAATAGATTTCCGCGCTTGCCAAACCCCCGGCTATCTGGGGTTTCAGATGTTCTTGATTCTGCAAAAAAAAAACATTTATCTGAAGAATATTCCATGTTTCGGAACGTCTGAATAGTTCATTTTATTATATTCGAGTGGTTCCTATCAAATTTTCCGTTCACTTTTTACACGCTTTATATTTGCTTCGCCTGTATGTATGTATGTTTGTTTGTAACTCTACTTTCCCGTATGAATGTTCAGGATCTGTATTTGATAGAATTATCGACATTATTGCTTCATCTATTCGCAGGTAGATGGCGCTGTACGTAACTTTATTGATATAACTCGAACTCACTTTACATGTATTTCTTCATTTGAAAAAAGTTTTTTTTCATTAACACGCGCGCCTGCTGCTTTCCTTGGGCTTGGTAGAACTAGTGATTTTAACAGTATTTTGTGTGCAGATTACGGAAAAAAATAGTAAAAAAATTATTTCACCTATAGATAAGTCACAAATTTCACCTGAAATTTTCTTATTAAATGGGTTTTTAGGTTCGGTATCGGTTTGATGTTTCTGTATTATATAGCCTATATAAGCGGTAAATTGAGTCTGAATTATGGAGCTTTTATGATGAATAAGTTACTACACAATGTGAGTGTATATCTAAGATAAAATACGGTTTTAATCTATTTATTTCAATAACAAAACGAATCTCAACTGGAAAAATCCAGTTCCTACTGGAACAAGGCATGTATGTGAAAGTTATTTCAATGTTACTAGGTCAACAAAGTGATTACACTAAGTTTCCATGTTTCCTATGTGAATGGGATAGCCGTAACAGGAAACAACACTACGTCAAGCAGGTGTGGCCAATAAGAAAGGGTCTTATTCCTGGAGTTAAAAATGTTAAAAGCAAAGTTTAGTGGATCCTAAATTGGGGCTAATGAAACAGTTTGTGAAAGCATTAGACAAAGAAGGAGATTGTTTCAAGTATCTTTCTGAAAAGTTTCCTGGTCTATCCGATGCTAAACTAAAAGAAGGAGTCTTCGTTGGGCCTGACATNCTTAGAAATAAAAATTGATGTGTCCTTTGAAATTTTCGAATACATTTTCGTTTCTGACTTACAGAGGGGTCAAGTTTTCTTTGGAACGCCCTGTATAACCAGTGTTCACCGAACATCGCCATCGCTGAAATTTTTTTTCAACTTCTGGAGGTAGCACAACGTGAGAAAAAGTTCCTTTGGCATGGAGTTCCATAAATCGTCTGACGGTATAGAAATAATTCTTTCTATAGTCAGTGGGATAATTTTAAGAAAGGCGGGATGACATTTTAGAAAAGTACAGCCTAGGAGATTTTTGTAAAAAAGGTCAAATGTTCAACTCTACTATAATGCTTCAAGGTCATCAGAATCATTATTAATGGAGGATCACGAACAGATGATCCATATGCAACATCAACATTATAGTGGTGTCAAAATGTTCTAGTCTAGATAGTTTTGCTGGCAGTTGAGGGTAGAGGATCATGCAAGTAATTAGTGTTCCAGATCGTGTCAAATCTGGACCCTGTGATGATAAGAAGCTGCTGGGAAGTGAAATAACTTATGGTAAGAGAAATGTCTGCTATACTACTTGGGTGATATCTTCAATATGCTCATTCCACGAGAGCTTAACGTTTTAGTAGTATTGAACTCACCACAAGCAGCCACAGATGATTGCTGATAAGCATTACTTGGTTGCTTTTATTAATCTCATTAAGAGTGATCAATTGACGAGTAATGAGGTGACTAGGTGGTAAGTATACAGCGCACATCTTCAAAGCTGTATACTGAACAGGATATTTTGTTGAGGAGGTTGCTCTTACGAAACAGAAACGCTATCGCGGCCAGAATTGAGCCATGGGCACGCAAGCATTGATAACAAGTCAGTCACAGGGCACCCCACTCCATCTATTCGCACAAAAGAAACAGAATAATAACTAGTACAACAGTACTGCAACTAGTAAGCAAAATAACATTGCTACTGATTTCAAATAAAACGAAAATAAATTTCTTTCAAAAAAATCTTTCCAAAAATTTGAACTTCTATTTCTTATACAGAATATATATCAGCCGTCTTTTTATTAGATATAATTTGGCAACTCTTATATACCCACAATATAAAGTTTTTGCGAACGAGTTGCCTATGGATCAACGAACTAGCGTGAAAAATCTAAAAGAATCCGCGGTACCTAAACTTTATATAAAGTTAATAATTTGTTTCAAAAACACATAGGCTTAAACATTTGCTACAGTATATCCGCTGAAAGGTTCCAGTTATTCTGTTTCCTCACACAGATCGAATGAAATTTCCTCACAGACGCGCAGAAATAAGGAATTTGCACTGTTCTTAGACTAACTTCAGGAGGTGAGATCGACTGTGATTTACTGTGTTCGATAGGTATTCCAATTCCAACTTGATGTTCAAAGCTTTGCCCTGTAAATTGTTTATATTTTTAATTACAATTGGAAAATAAACGCCTCCCATTTCGGTTCGTACAGGTTCAATGTCCATTCGCCTAACATAGTTCGCGACATACCGTTATCAATGAAATGAAATTTCTATGATTGGCAACTAAATGAATAGTTGTAAGAATTATTTTTACGAAATATTATTGTGATGGAGCAGACTTGTCTCTTCCGGTGACATAAAGTTTTGAAGTTTTTGCGAATATCCAAAAATATACTGATGAGGAGTATATAGTATATCAATACTATTTATTCCACATATATAACGTTGTGTAGTGTTCTTGTGTATTAGAAATGTTTCAATTACATTACGAATATTTGGAGTACTATTTTAATAGAAATATGTGATGTATGTGTTTGTTATCAATTTTCATAATCGAAAATAGTTTTTTTTTGGGAAGATTTTAGCAAAAACCCGTCTAACTGGTTATAACCGAGTACGAACAGTTTAACGGGGCACAGCAATCACCTCAAAGGATATACTATATACTTGTGGCGACATTTTATATCGGGGAGATTAAAAAGTGTACCTTACAATCATCAGAAACATCAGAAAAAAAATTGTTGTAATTCATGCCCGAAAGAAAATAACGCCAGCCGCCGCTGGTAGCCATAAACAAAGCGTGACGTGGCTAAGAGCGCGCGCGAGTGCACGATGATTCCCCGCCAATCAAGAAGCAACGAGAATAATGTTACCGACAGAACTTCGGAGAAATTTCGACAACATTCGATTACGATATTTAAAGGCCACGAGGATATCGGGACAGTCAAGTGGACGTTACAGTGCGGTACTGCGGTACGCGAAGTGATAGACATTCAAATAATAGTTGAAGTTTTAGTGGAAGTATTTGTGTATTTAAAGTGAAATAAAGTTAACTTTGATTATAGAGTGTAGAGTTGAAAAAAATATTTTTTTCGTATTAATGGCCAATTTGCTTCGATCTGGTTATCAACCTCCTTATATGAATTCTTTGTCAATCAAACTAAAAAAATCTGTTTAAAATCTGTTTTTCCGTTAATCAACTGTCGCCCCCATACGAACAACTCTCAGAAGTTGAGAAACTTGTGTGAGCTGAGGACTAACGAGGTCTTACCTTTTAACGTGTGATTCATAATACGGTATACATAGCATGTATACATTAAACTTGATTTATAAGTTAGAAAATGTCATTATAGGACGAAACATTAGTTACAAATAAAAGTGGTAAAAAACATAGAAAATTTCAATTCTCTTTTCCAGGACTGTTTCTAGTATGTGTAATGAATGGTTCTTTTAAAGACACCAAAATCATTTCTACTGTCAGCACAGAAGTGTAGTGCCGAAGAAAAAATGCAGATTTTTTTCTGAAATAGCAGAAGAAAATCTGAAGAAATGCAAGGAAAATTTCGACATATAAGAGTTTTCTGTAGCAGTTACTAAAATAAAATGCTGAAATTGGGACAGTATTTTATGGTTGTTCGGTTCACTATTTCAATATGGCAGAAAATGAAGTTTCAGCAGAAATCAAACTACCCTAACAATAGGGGCATCACCACATGCCCCACATTTGGTTGAGGTAAGAAGGGGTTCAAAAGGCCACAAATCACAAACAAAACTATAGGGGAAACCCCCACTTTGACTGAACTTTTGTTTCAGAAGAATCAACGTTGGGTTAAATTAATGTATTAATTAATGTATATCTAGTTATATATTTGATAATTGTCCTTGATTCGGATGGACGGTAGCCGGTCAGTTCGACGTGGGTGCTTTGTTCACTCACTCAAATCGACCGCCGTGTCGGTCGCTGGTTCAAGCCTCCGGCTCAACGATCGATTTTCACTTGCTATCACAAGTTGAAAGGTAAGACCTCGTTAGTCCTTAGCTCGCACAAGATTCGTCTTTTGAGGGTTGTCGTTCATAGGGGTGCGACAGCTGGTTAACGGAGAAACATATTTTAAACAGACAGATTTACTCAAGAATTCGGGGAATAATAATTAAGTCATAACTGGTGGGTTTTCCATACTATATTTGTATTTTTTTTTCTATTTCCTGAAAACGTCCACCTACTAAAAAGTAGAAAGCCAGAATAGTTTTCTCCCTTAAAACAAAGATGTTTATCTGTGAGTATATGTTATTCGACGAAAAATCGAGTCTGAGAATACCCAAATAATAACAAAGGTATAAATAAAATGTCTATTCACACCCTAAAACATGTTAGATCATTTACTGAAACAAAACATAACAGCGTTTTATTATTTCCTGGGCGGGCGAAACACAGCCTACTTTTATTTGCTTCAGCACACATCGTTTTATGACAGGTCACTCAACGCATTGCTTATTTACCAGAGAAAATTCCGGATATGAATTATTTTAGGCGCGTCCAACTTTACAAGATCCATTGCCAAAAGTAGAGAAATTATTTAGGTTGCATCATATTCATTCCAGGCGAATTACACAAACGACTAAAAAAAAACAAATTTTCTCTTTAACGCAAGGTCTTATATAACAATCCAAATATAAAGAAAGGTACATAGAGGGCATGTTTTCTTTTTGATTCGGGATAACTTAATGTACAGATTGGAGTTGAAACAAACAGAATTTGGAAAGGAACGTTTGTTTGAAGGTGATTGACAATGTTTCATGATGAATTTCACTAATTCGAACTTCCATTATCTACTATATAAAATGATTTGAAATCCCTGAAACAACTAAAAAAGAAGAATTGAAAATGAATAGCTGAAAATAACAATTATATTAACCAAAATAAACCTGAAAAATCGCAGTCCGCGTTTGGTGGCCTGGTTTTCGTGAGGCTGCTACGGATAGTGTTACCGGATCTGAAGCAGGTTCTGATGTTGTACTTGGAACCAATTCTGCTTATCCTTTCCGATAATCCTCTGATGTATGGAAGTGCAAGCACTGGTCGTGACGACTTCTCTTCCTTGCTAGGCTCCTGCTGTCTTTTCAACCATCGCTTTGGAGTAGCCATTCCGTTGAAGATCATTTTTGATGATATCTAATTCCTTCTCGAGACCCTCCTTCGTGTTACAGACCACGAAAGCACGGTCTAATAGAGTCTTGATGAGCCAGACTTTATGTTGATTCCCTCTTCCTTTCGGTTTCTGACTTTCTATGCCTCACTATATAGTCTCGTATAGTAGCTCTGATTTCTATCGAGTACTTGGGTCTCTTTGAAGGCGAATGGTTTCCTTGTTAGTGTGCATGTTCCATTACCTCTGATTGGTCGGTATGACCGAGGCGACAATTTCTCTTGTGCTCAGAGAGCCAGGTACTTACATTTCTCTTCAAAACGGCCCACCAGTAAAAGAAGAAGAAACTTGGTATACAGATGGCTCAAAGACCCAAGCAGGAGTGGGAGCCGATAGGTGTTACGGAGGCCGAGCAAAGACGAGAATCGTACTCAGCTTTAGACATAATGCAACTGTGTTCCAGGCAGTAGTAGCGGCCATCGAACACTGTATAAGGGAAATGAACAGGCAGAAGGTCACAAATAAAACCATTGCCGTTTTTTCCGACAGTCAGGCGTCAATTAAGGCGATCAGCTGTCTGTGGGTCTACTAACGGGGCATAGCCGACTCAGGAAACATATAAGTAACATGGGTTTGACAGAAGAAACCCAATGCAGGTTCTGTCAAGAAGAGAAAGAAACCGCACTGCATGTGCTCTGTGAAGCGATAGCAAGGCTGAAACACGCAAGATGCCGTGAAGAGAAACCAGAGGCTGCCAGCTATATGAAGGGGTCAATGTCAAAGCAATGGAGTCTTATCAAAGAGATCAAGTGATCAGTGAATCGGGCCATGGGCTAGCTCCCCGACCAATCTAATCTAATCTACATTTCTGTTACAAAATATCCTCTGGGTTATTCAGGTGACATCAGAGTCTTTCCGATTGGTGTCCAAAATCCTTCCAATCCGTTCCTGGGTGTATGGACCTCTCAAATTCGCCTTCGATGTATTTATTCCCTTTGAAGGCATTCATCAGATGGCTGATTTCTTGTGGAGACTCAGGTTCATAGATGCGTTGGGTCTTCTTGACTGAAGTTTCAATTAGTGCGGAGACACGAACTAAAATTTCGTACGCCCCAGAAAAGAGAATTCCAAGGTAATTCCAAATGGGCCTACCAGAGAAAAAGCTTTTTGTGTCCCACTTGAAGAATGTCACGAATGAATTGGAAGAATTCAGGACAACGAAAATTATCAGAGGGAGTTTAAGGTCAGACAAGAAACTCAGAGGGTTCAATAGATCTTAGATCTACTATTCAAAACTGTACCGTGTGTAAACCAATTCAGGTTCGCCCCTATAACTTTTTTGTTTGTCCAGGTATCGATGTGGAATTTTGGTAGTTTGAATGGTATCACAAGAAATATAGATCTAATTTCTACATAGACCGTGGAAGCAAATTAAATCTTTTTTAGTGAATATAACCCCCTAGATTATTTCAATTACGTCTCAGTATTTTCGAACCAAAATAGTACATGTGGATGCAAAATGAACTACTGAATCCAAAATTCTGAACTCTAAAGTTGGCATAACTTTCTGTGAAACTGGGAATACTTCAAAGAATGTTTTTTCTACGATCAATCAGAATTGTAATATTCTTTGAACCACGAATTCTATGGAATAAGGAGGCGGTAGAAAAACACAGAAACATAACACATAAAGTCTGGCTACTTGCAATTAACTACACACGTATCAGGTCATTTAATTCAACCAGTGGAGCTAAGCCGTACACACCACCGATGGAATGAAACCGATGACCCAAACTACCAATGTAGTATTTGCTACGACAACAACTAAACCAAATCGTGCGTTGCCTTATTGCCTTTGACAATATCTACCGCAGTCGAACACGAAACGTCAGCCACAAAAAGCAACAGAACACGACCAACAAATGTAAAAACGGTAAAGTGGCTGTAAAAACAAAACAGAACAAATATTGAAACAAAGAAAGTATGCTGGAACATTTTATGGAAGCATAATGATGAAAGTATTCCTGTGAATCATACCAGGTTTCATTATTTAATGTGTTGTTACTAGCTTCCTGAATATATAACTAGCAAACGATATATTGTTGTACATCTTTTCTCTTATTATACAATTACGAATTTCGTACCGAATTTTAAGTTGGAATGAAAAGTCTCAACTGATTGTTTTGGCAAGTGACACTACATTGACTATAGTGTCAATTGAAAGCATAAATAACTTCAAATTCCTTTCTGGAGAATTTCATATCAGAAAAAAAGAGTTTCACTAGTTCGGACTTCCATTGTCTACTATATAAAATGATTTGAAATCCCTGAAACAACTAAAAAACGTGTACGTAACTGTTATTTCCAACTGAAGGACGAATTCTTTACACAAGATGAGGGACTGCCAATGGGTTCGCCACTTTCACCAGTCATAGCCAACATATATATGGAGTGATTTGAAACTCTAGCCATTGAAGAAGCCCACAAGAAACCGCGAGTCTGGTTGAGATATGTTGACTAACAATCGAAACGTCGTGAACTAACGTGACTTGGAATCTCTTCACTTTTTTATTTTTATTTTCTTTTTTTTTCATTTTTTTTATTCAATTGTTCTATTTTTACTTGTATTTTATTTCACTATTATTTCATTTCAGGTTTATTTTGGTTAATATAATTATTACTTTCAGCTACTCATTTTTAATTCTTCTTTTTTAGTTATTTCAGGGATTTCAAATAATTTTATATAGTAGACAATGGAAGTCCGAACTAGTGAAATTCATCATGAAACATTGTCAATCACCCTCAAACAAACGTAGAAAAAAAGAGATTTGCATTAGTCCAGCCATTTGATCGGACCAAGGTATCTAATATTTTTCTGCAAGACAAAATACAAATTGCATGAGATGTTATCTACAGGTGTGAATCAATTAGTGAACATTTCCCTACTTTGCTCAAGGAGAAACCTTCACTAAATTCCTGAATATGAAACACCACCACCTGCCGATTTTTTATTCGAATACCTGATGTTATTGTCCAATTTCAGATTTTTGTCAAAATAAATTCCTGGATATTTTAACGATGTATAATATTTTATCAGCCTAGTTCCTAGAATCAAATTGTTATAATAGTGTTGTAGATCATGCCCGAAAGAAATTAACGCCGGCCGCCACTGGTAACCATGAACCAAACGTGACGTAGCTGAAAGCGAGTGCATATCCAAAATGTTACCTGTCGCTCGAGAAGGAGCAAGAAACATGCTACCGATGTCGATAGAACTTCAGCGAAATTCTACGATGTTCCATTGCGATATTTAAACGCTGGCTGCAAGCGTATTCAGACAGTCAAGTGAAAGATACAGTGCGATACGCGAAGTGATCTAGTAAGGCGATAGACATTAAAATAATAGTTGAATTTTTAGTTGAAGTGTTGTTGTATTTGAAGTGAAATAATGGTGACTTTGATCATTCAGTGTAGTCAATTATTGGTGAACCCACGGGGAAAAACGTAACAATAGTTATGTTATTCACCAAAAGAATATCATATTCACACTAGTCTTTCAGCTTTTACATACATATTATTAGATACACTTTTTTCACGGAATCTGTTTCCGGTTTTCAATATTATTCAGGTGATTGATAGATAGAGAAACAAGATAGCACCTAATACAGATCCCTGAGATACTTCACATTTTGTGTCTCTGGTAGTAGAGGAGTCGGATGACAATGTTCTAATTGCTTTTCTGTCCTGATTGACTTATTTATATTTTCTCTAAAGCCATACCTTTACATTTTCCGAACAATACCTAATAACTGATGCAGTCAAATACTTTTGAAAAGTTACATAGGATAGCTGTAGTGGTTTCACCACAATTTATTTCAACGTATAGTACATGAATGCATATTTCATAAAATTATGTCAAACAATTCCATATGATGCGAACTCGATGAATGACAAGTTTAACGTGCGTGATTTGACGCAGCCTTTGATATGCTGTTTTTATTGGAAAACTGCCAATGGAAATTGTAATCGTTCGAGATATAAACATGTATAATACGTTGTACTTATATGTACGAGTTTGATCTGCACTTACCTCATGATCTCTATAAAACGGTTCCCTTAGATTTTCGGGAATCTTGTTGTTGAATGCTTTTGAAAGAAGCCATTTCATGGACGCTCTCTGTTTTGCCTGCAACAAAATTAAATTTTATTAGGATGTGAAATATGGTAACAACTTCAAAAACATCCACCGAAAAGTTTTTCGACAAGTCCATTACGAAGGAGACTTTTTCTTGATCCTTTTCTATCTCTGATATTATCCCAAAACAGACGTTTTCCCTATTTTTTTTTGTAGAGATTCTAATCTACAGAGAATCTACTTTTTAGTATTATTTTTTTATTGAAAGAAAAATTACACGAAACATTTTTGTCGCTCTCAAAAATATCGATATTACTAACATATTTTTTCTACATTTTTATTGTGTATTACGTTCATATTTATTCATATCAATAGATATTATGAAATATTCATTTATTCGAAATATGCACAGAACACAATACATAAAAATTCCTTCACCACGAACATTCTTGGACTATGATTGAGTATCCACTTCGGGGACTTCCCAGAAGTCTGTAATATCATATTCAGGAAATACAAGTCTGATTGTGTGTACTTTGAGCAATACGTATTAAAACGAGGAAATTTGTGACTATTGAAGTTACAAAATATTCAAATGATTAGAATGAATGAAACCATTAATTTAACCGAAACCGTCGTTCAATTATAAATTTTGTGCTTGAATGTTATCTCTTTTGCTGTTTTAAAAGCATATAAATATTTTTTATTAGATAACAATACCGACAACTGATAAGAAAAATATTTAGATGCCTTAAGATGTCTATTCAGTGGTGGATGCTGGGATGGGATTTTGTTTCAGAAATTATTGTAGACCCACTGTAGTAGTTATGTATAGCGTTATGTAAGAAAGTCAATATTTCTTTCTATCTGTTTTGGTCATAAATTGATTATCAGTAAATAATGTTGCCAGTACTATAATATTTTCGTAGAAACAAATAAGTAGGGTAAAACCACGAAGAAACTAACAATAGACGTAAACACAATTGCTATTTTATGTTAATGAAAGGGAAATTTAAGTTTGTGAATCAATATACAAGAACAAACGGAAATACAATTTCTCAAAAAATAAAACAGTAATTTCTGTCTCAACCTTTATAAATATAACGTTTATTTCATACAAAACCTAACAAACATATACTATATCCATCCAACAAAGAAAGTAACCCAAACAATTATAGATGCGTGATCAAAGCCTGGTCACCACGCACATTTGCATCATTTGGGTAAAATAAACACGCCTCCTTACGCTGGCCCATCAAATTCAACTGCAATCGGCTGGCGAATTAATTGTTACGGTGTCGGAGTAGTCAGTTACGTTTTAACGCCTGTGGTATGTAAATACGGTATTTAAAAGTTGAAAATTTTCAAAATGTCAAGTATTGTTATGGCTGAATAAACACAGACTACTAGACAACTCTGTCAAAATTGTTGTTTTGATTATTGGAGTCCTTGGTGGAATGATGCCATATCTACTCTCGAATCTCAAGATCATACCGGGTTGCCCCACTAAAGCAGAAATCTTAGTTGGAGGAGGCTGTCATTCTTGGCTCATTACGCTTGCTTAGGGCACATGCTTCTTGGACCCAATGTTCACTTACCCCATGGTGTGGGGGGGGGGTAATAGGTTGATAATGCGGCACACATGTATCCCCGATGTATCGGAGGATAGGGCCCGACCATCGCAACCTTAAAGATTAAAAAATAATAAAAATAACGATAATATTATTTTCAAGAGTACATTGTTTATATCACCGAAGTACAATTGTCGTTGAAAATCTTAATACTAAGCGGATTGGAGTCTTGACTAGTAAATTAGTTCGGAGAAACGTAATTTCTTGATTATCAAAAATACCTCGAAACTTTGTATTCCTTTGGAAATTTAGTATAACCTCAATTTCAAATTTCAATTGAAACAGTTGTAATTTAGGTATATTTAATGACATGAAGATGAGAAGTTTTTCAAAAATCACATTTGATTTAATAAACTAGGCGACATACTTCGAATCTTTTCCATAAAAGTTGTGTATCGTCAAATGGAATTATAGAATCCATTTCATTGAAATAGTATCACAACAGCTGCTACATAATAACTGGAATCGCTCGTTAGCTAGGTTAACGTTATTAATATTGTTAGTTTTGAGAGCAATTGTCGAGGCGAAATAATGGGCATCCGTCATTTAAAAAAATTAACAGCGTGGACGTTCTTGCCACACAAATATCTTGAGTTCGAAATGACTTTCTCGACCAAGAAACTCGTTTCCTATTAGTACATCTTCAGCACAGGGTCGGCACTACAAAAATTTTGCCAATAAGGAGATATATGTCGTTTAAATGAAAATACATATGTGGTTCCATCAAAGATCATCAAAGACATAGGAAATAAACTCAAATTCTACTCTATTATTTCCATTATTTAATGGCCGGAATTTCAAAATGTTCATTAGCTCTTTTTTCTAAAATGGAAGTATTCAATTTAACATTGAAATTTTGAGTCTTCAAAGGTAGATGAATGTTTATTATATTTCCTGTTGTCCATAAATTTTCTTATCTGACCCTGTGCCTTAATTTGCATAAAACATTAGGAGCTGTTTCGGTCCCTGCATTGCCTGCAGTTAAGGTTTCCATTGTACAGCCCTATTTTGTCCAGGTGTCTGCTATGATGAAGTGGTTCTTCAAGTCTTTTCTCAAACGATCCCTTTATGAAAGTTTATCCGTTTATTGTCTCGGGCGATTTCTCATACTCTCAGTGACTATTTCTTGATCTTGTCCCGAACCCCAAATTTTTGTACTATCTCAGCTGGTTCTAGGTCAATATATAGAAATGAGTGAGGTCTATGGGAAAAAAAGCTTTTTGGCATTCACTTCTTCGTCTTCGTACAAAAAGTTGTGAAGGAAGGAATAAACCAATTCAGTTGAAAATAAACTTTTTATAAATATGTCACAGAAGTTACTGTCAGATACAAATTGGAACAGAAAATCCTCCCGAAATAACTACTTTAATTCGAACATTAAATTATATGAAAATAACTTTTTCCTCGAATTTGTACTCCAAAACATTCGTTATGAAATTAAATGAGATATCATTCATAGGATCGCTAAATAGTATAATATAATATATGAAAGAGGTCCGACATAAAGTTTCTCCACTCATCTCCTGATGGTGACTCAGCGAAACGCACGTCGAAAGACAGGATTTTGTTCTGGTATGGAAAAAGTGTTTTAGTAGGGTTGACAAAAAATAATCCACCAAAAATATTAATCATACTTATTCTACCGACCAGTGCATATGAGACTTTGAAACGCAGAAAATACTGACCCAAGTATAGACACGAATAAAAAAACAGAGCTTACTACGGTGCGACGCAACGCTTATATGTGGTCAAAGAGTTGTTTGCAGGAAAACCAACTTAACCTGACCTAACTAAATTGAAAAATACGCAACATAGTTGAACCTAAGTGAGCCGTGTTAGGAATCACACGTTAAAAGGTAATACCTCGTTAGTCCTTAGCTCGCACAAGTTTCTCAACTTCTGAGAGTTGTTCGTATGGGGGCGACAGCTGATTAACTAAAAAACAGACAGATTAGTAAGCTCTGTCAGGTAATTCGCGAATAGTTTTCGGTAATTTATTTAACTTCGTTTCATCGCCATATATAAGTTGAGCGATAGTATACAAGTATATGCAATGCCCGTACGTCAACCGGCATTTTGCTTTATACTCTCGTAGAATATCAAAAGTACAGGATACACTTACTGGATAAGGGATCTCTTTAATTTTTTGTTGTGTTGTAGTGTTTACGTCGAATGTTCTAGCAGATGTCCCTGTGCGCCAGTATTGTGTATACTGGTTTATAAATAAAGAAAAAACAACTTAAACCCATGAAAATCTGATATCTTGTTGATATGGTAGGCATATGAATCAGCTTAGGAAAAAACTTCTTGAAGATGGATACAAACCATGTAAGAACAGACACCACCAATTAGGCAATCGCACTCTAGTGACTCTTTGAAGATGAGTCGTTCATGAATCACTTTTTGTGACCTTGGCCAACGCTGTCACGCTATCACAATATCATTTGAAGTGCGATTAATACCAGAGCTGGACCATCAAGAATCGATTTCATCGTGACTCATGTCGTTGTTCCTAGTAAAGTTGCGGTTTTCAATCCAATTGAAGCATTAAACTTCCATTATAATCATTTTTTTCAAGTGTATTCTTGATATGTCACTAATAAATAAATTTCGTAATCATGTCTCATTCCATAAATGATATTTTGATACTAATTTCATTCTATAAAAAGGGGAAAAAAGCAAATTGATACATTCATCCCGAGGTCAATGTTAACTTCTGAATGAGGAGACTTTTTTATTTTTCAAATATATTTTTAAGTCAATTTTGAGCATGAGAAAGGAAATTTTATATTTAGGGTGAATAATAAATAGTGGTTCAATGTAAAAGGGTCTGCACACTGCGTCTTTAGAAAGTATTATTTAAAAAAAAACGATCTCACATACAGATATTTTCCAGATACTGATTTTTCATAAGAAATTTTGAGATCTGAGATAACAAATGACTAAAACTTCCAAATCAAACATAAACACTAAACATCATCTAAGTTAGACCACTGTCCATGTTACACCCGGTATACATCAAAATTAAACTTTTTATGAATTGAAGGCGAAAACTAGTACAGCCTTGTGACGAACCATTGAAGAACTTTTTTTGCATCTGATATTCACCATAATAATATCATTAATACCTATATTTTTCAATTCAGCCATAAGTCATATTATGTTTCATTTTGTTCGAGTTATACCAGACTACAGTTCTGTTTGGAACTTATGAATATATAATTTCTGAGTTATGCAATGATTTCTTAGTTCAGTCTCTTACTGAAATTTCGAAATCTTCGAAAAATCATTGGTACAATTAGTCTAGGTGATAATACGCTAGTGTCAGCGTTTAAATCCAATCCTGGAAACAGTTCTAATATGCACTTTCTAGTATATCCCTGAGATCTCTCAGCGATTCGGTTTTCATCTCCCCAATTG